TTCCATGGAACCTGCCTGGCCCTGTCCCTTGCTCATGATAGAGAAGCCAGTCTGAAACTACCCGCTTGGCAATGGTCAGAGATGGAATTGGCTGGTGCTTTAGGTGGGGAATTGGTATGTTAATGTCGCCCTTGTCTCTTGGGGAAGTGTGTTCTTTTTTTTTTTTAAAGATTTATTATTATTATTATTTTATTGGAAAGGCGGATATACAGAGAGGAATGGCCGATACTATGCCGATCCGAAGCCAGGAGCCTCTTCCGGGTCTCCCACGCAGGTGCAGGGTCCCAAAGCTTTGGGCCGTCCTCGACTGCTTTCCCAGGCCACAGGCAGGGAGCTGGAAGGGAAGCGGGGCTGCCGGGATTAGAACTGGCGCCCATATGCGATCCCAGGTGTGCAAGGCGAGGACGTTAGCCACTGCGCCACTGCGCCGGGCCCGAAGTGTGTTCTTGATATGGTAAAAGATGCACTTGTCTCGGGAGAAACGGGCTCTGGTGAATCCAATACATTGTGGGAAAAATACCCTTTTATATTTGAGAAAAAAATGATGACTCGGGGACCAAGAATTCCCTAACTGCCTACTACCCACTCTAACTCCTCTCTCACTATGAGTATTTGTGTGTGTGAGTGTGTCTATGAGTATGACTGGTAGTGTGTGTGTGAGTTTGGTTGAGTGTGAGTGCCCTGGTGAGGAGCAATGAAGACATCAGATCCTGCTGGGGTTCGTGCTGGGTGCTGGGGTCCATGCTGGGGTGCTGGCATTCGTGCTGGGGCGCTGGGGTCTGTGCCAGGTTCTGGGGTCTGTGATGGGTGCTGGGGTCTGTGCTGAGGTGCTGGGGTCCGTGCTGGGTGCTGGTGTCAGTGCTGGGTGCTGGGGTCTTTGCTGGGGTCCTGAGGTCCGTGCCGGGTGCTGGTGTCAGTTCCAGGTGCTGGGGTCTTTGCTGGGGTCCTGGGGTCCGTGCCGGGTGCTGGTGTCAGTGCCAGGTGCTGGGGTCTTTGCTGGGGTCCTGGGGTCCGTGCTGGATGCTGGGGTCTGTACTGGGTGCTGGGGTCCGTGCGGTGAGTATGGAGGATGTGAAGGTTTGTGGAGAACTGTTCCCCTGCAGGTAAGGCTGCAAGAAATTTCCCACTGCATGCAGGGCCCCAACAATGTCTCTGCAAGTACTTGGAAGCTGTTCCACCTCCCTTTGCAAGGACATCGGACCACCCGCTGAGAATTCTGTAATCTATTTAGGCATTGTCTGCCACTGTGGAGTTGGTTTTTACTATCCATGTGAGCTTGGAAGTTGATAAGTTATAAGTCTTGCAAAGGGGCCTTTTACAATTCATGCTGTCTCTGTCTCTGCCGCCCCCATTGACCATCCTTGATCTTTAGGTCTCTCCTGTGATGCATTTCCTCCCTTAACTGATTCAAGATTAAGCTGTAGCATGAGGATTGTAGTAGGAATGTGTTACTGATTGATATACACCATCTATTGAGCACTTTAAGGTGAAACAAAGGGCAGAATTATCTTTGGAAATACCCACTTGACCATGATGTAAAAAGTCTGAGCCAGAGCTTGTGACTGCTTCTGATTAAATAAAGGGGACAGCTTCCTTGCATTGCCCATTATGATCCTGAAATTGTAGTGGTCCATCTCTTTCCTCTCTACACCTATTCCACGCACCCTTCTCTAGTTCCAAACTCAGCTGGAGCTGGACTCTGGCCCTGGGGGAGTGGGCTGAGGCAATGCCTTGGAGGGCCCAGCTGCCAGCCCGGGCACCGCCTCATGTTGTTCCCCTTCTCCTGGGTGTTGTTTGGTAGCCGTCCCCTGGTGACCTACAAGCAGAGCTGCTGTTTCAGAAGAAGGTTGGGGGTCTGCCCTGGCAGGGTGCTGTCCTCCTGACAGACATAGAGTGGAAACACCCAGGCCCAGGAGCCCAGAGTGGAGGCTCACAGTGCCAGGCAGGCTGCTGGGGGCTGGGCACTGCCTGTGAGGTAGGGGAGAGAGGCCCAGGGCAGGAGGTAGCAGTTCTACCCCGGGGACAGCTGCACTGGGCTGGGCATCCCTCTGCAGCCAAGCTGCTGACTCACAGCTGGCATGGCTAGGCCATCAGCCACCTGACTCGGGAGGTCACTTGGATTTGCACAGGCTACATGTGCAAACCTGGGCTTGTCCCTGACCCCAGCTTGCTACCAAGTGTATCCAGATGAGCCTGGTACCTGCCCTTGCACTGTTGAGGTTCCCTCTCCCCTCATCCTCCCTGCTCCCCACTGCCCCCTCCCCCAGGGAGGGTCTCATCTGGTAGAGACCCATCCGGAACTTGGTGAGTGTGTGGAAGGCCAGGGAGCTTTAGCAGCCCGGTGCCTGTTCGGAGCCAGCTGGAGGACACAGGTGGGTGGTCTGCTGTCTTCAGCCCCTTTCTCGTGTACACTCAACATGAGCGATTCGTTCGTCCAACGCTGAGCTCTGTGACACTGCGACTGACCATGGCAGGGCACAGGTCAAGAAGTGGTGAAAGCATGGGGGGCCGGGAACTCCCAACCATGCGACTCGCTGCCACTCCATTGCTGTGCCCTCCAATACAGCTGCAAAAGCCCAGCCATGCCAAGCATGGGGGAGGCCCAGTCCCTGGGCTCTGGGGAGGCCTCTCAGCCATTAGATGGGTGGCAGTTGCCCTTGATGGCTTCTCCCTTTGTCAGCTTGATACCAGGGGTGACCGCCTATCCATCTATGAGCCTGATACTGAGTGGGGTTCAGGCAAGGTGGGAGTAGTTACGGAGGGTGAGGAGGGCTAGTGACCTCTGAACCCCCAGCAGATATGAGGGCCGGCTCCCATCTGTTGCTGGGCGGAAGAGGTGAGCAGCGTGTGATCTGGCCTGCCCTCAGAGCAGGGGAAGGGGATGTGGCTGGGGAGGAAAAGGGCGGCCTTGTTCAAAGAGAGGCCTTGGCCCCTGCACTGCTTTCTAAGTACACATAGGGCACTGGTGTCAGGCGAGTACAAACCTCCATTAGCTGCCAGCCTGGTTCAGCCTCCCCAGCCCCTCACTGGGCTGTGCTCCCCCAGCACTGTTAAAGCATGCCATGCGGAATAGGCCTAGATGGGCAGGGCGGGCTGGGGGGCATGGGGTGAGTGTGGAGGAGCTTGAGCCCACAGCCCCTGCTTTGGATGTACTCGGACCCCAGGCTGGGCAGTGCCGGATGCCTCCCATCACCAACTCCCCATCAAAGTCCACTGGGTTCTCACATCTGGATGGCGGTAGTCCCTGGGGGCCTCCAGCTATGTCACAGCTGGACAACTGCAGAAGTGCCCAGTGGACTCTGGAGGCTTGGCCGCCCAGTTCCCGGCTGAGGAGGGTGCAGGGCCTCCAAGCATGGGGTTGTGGGGGCCTTGTGACCACGCCCACTGATTACCTGGAAACCTGTGACCCACCAGTAGAGGCCAGGTGAACTCGGAGGCCTGGGGCTGTCCTCTGTCCTGGGGTGAGCGGGCCAGGTCACTTCCCTGGAGTGGGGTAAGGAGGTCCTGAGGGAGTCCTGGAGTCAGGAGGGGCATGGCCAACGCCCTCCACCTGCTTTGTAGGAGCATAGCGGTGGGGTAGGTGTCTCGCCACTCCAGGATGGCTTTGGCCCAGAGGGCTAGCAGGTCACAAATGGAACATAATTATAGCTGAGCTACAGACTCCACGAAGTGCTGCCCCGTCCCCGCTCCTGGGACCTGTGCTGTCTGCTGTGGTGTATGAAGCCCCGCTCTCACATCCCCCCATGGCTGGGGGTCGGAGCCCGGCTGGATGTACTGCTGGACATAGGACATGCGGGCCCAACCTCGTTGCAAGGCACAGCTGCGATGCGACTGTTGACCGGACTCAATTCTAGCAGCGGTGAGGATGAATCCCTCAGTCCCCTTGACAGCTGTCAGCGGCCCCCCCCCCCAATGCTGGTGGCTCCACAAAAGCCACAGAGTGCATATCACATGGGGGTGTTCTCGCACCATTGTTCCAGGCTTGTGCACCCAAGGCCATCCTGCCTGTGTCCCTCCTCCCTCCTCCTCCACCTGCCCTCGTAAGGTGTCTGTTGGGCCCAGGGGCAAGTACTGCCCACTCCCCCGAGGAACTCAATGCTGCCCACGGTCACGGCCCTGGCTTTTGTTCTTTATCGAGCCAACCACCTTCACTGGATTGTGAGCTGCATGGAGTTGGGGACTGTCCCATCTCTTGGTGCCAGAGCCTAGCACGCTGCCTGAGATGTCCAGGGACCAGGCACAAAACATGTGTGTCAAGGGGGTACAGGAATCTGTGTGTGTGCCGGCAGGGGTCCCTTGGGCAGCCAGAGGCAGCTGGATAAGAGAAGGGCGGAGCAAGTTCAAGTTTCAGCACAGACCCTGGGAGCGGTTTTTGCCCCGCTCAGGCTGTTTTCCCAGGTGCAGCGCATGCGTCTCCATCTCTGGGCTGCAGGAAGAAAGGCCTAGCTCCTGCAAGCCTCAGCCTCGCAGGCGCTCTGCAAACCCAGCAGGCATCGCTGCTCCTGACGCTCACTCAGTGGGCCCGCTTCCTCTCTGTGGAGTGCCTGCGGTAGGTCGGTTGCTGCTCCCTTTTCTGTGAATTTGTGGGTCCCTCAGGGAACCCAACAGAGCCCACGTCTCCTTGGGAAAGCCAGCTGCTGCGAGGATGGCCATCTCTGAGTCACGTCTGGGCTGTTAAGTCCATGGGTGGATCACTGCTGGGAGGGTCCTCCAGAGGTGCGGCCACCACAGCATGCACTTCTCTGGGGGCTGCCACCTGCTCCCCTCGTGTCTTCCCTGTAAAGCAAACAGCACAGCTCCCAGTCTTGTGCCTTCCATCTTGGCCCTGGCCCCAGTAGTCAGGGTAAAAGGTCATCTTCAGTTGGTCACTTTCCAGCTGCATCACGCTGGGGCAACGACTCCACTTCAAACCACCCCATTTCAACAAAATTTAAATGAGACGCTGAAGGCAGCCGGTGCAGAGCAGGTCAGGCCGAGCAGGTGCCAGGGCCCTCACCACCATGCCCTCTGTGGACGATGTGTTGGAGCAGATTGGGGAGTTTGGCTGGTTCCAGAAGCGAACCTTCCTCCTCCTGTGCTTCATCTCCATCATCCTAGCCCCCATCTATGTGGGCATCGTCTTCCTGGGCTTCACCCCGGACCACCACTGCCGGAGCCCCGGGGTGGCCGAGCTGAGCCGCCGCTGCGGCTGGAGCCCCGAGGAGGAGCTCAACTACACAGTGCCCGGCCTGGGTGAGGCCGATGGGGCCTTCCTCCGCCAGTGCATGCGCTACGAGGTGGACTGGAACCAGAGCTCCCTGAGCTGCGTGGACCCACTGGCCAGCCTGGCCCCCAACAGGAGCCACCTGCCGCTGAGCCCGTGTGAGCACGGCTGGGTGTATGACACGCCCGGCTCGTCCATCGTCACCGAGGTAGGAACCGCCTCTAGATTCTAGCATTTGGGGGGGCGGGGGGTGTTGAGAGGGGTGAGCTTTGGAGACAGGGAGGAGGAGGAGGCAAGTCTTGGGCAGTTCGGTTCCCCAGCAGGGAAGCTGGAGGGGTTCCTGGGTCCTACGTACCTAGCAGGGTCCAGCCACTGCCTGCTCTTCTCTGCTGCCATCACTTGCAAGCCCCAGGTGTGATTCACGTCCATCGGGAGCCCAGGGAGCCCAGCCTCCTTCTGCCCTGCCAGCTTCTCCCAGGGCCTGCAGAACTGGGCAGCTTGTACCCTGCCCAGGAGTGGTGACAAGGGACCCGCAAGTGGGCCACTAGGCTGGTGCAGCTGTGCTGCTGCCCAGCTGAGCACCCCCAGGAGCTCTCTTGCCTCTCTGAGCCTTTGTGGTACAAAGGTCTGCTGGGAACCTAGGAAAACCCTGAGCATCGGGAGCATAGCTTCCTAGAGTGCCCCCGGGTGTGGCCGCTTGCAGTAGCCAGAGGCCTGCAAGGAAGAGACTGGCATTGGCAAGGGTTTTTCGGCTTGTCTTGCCTCTTGGCTCCTGGCATCTCCTTGCCTTTCTCCTTCTCTGTTCAGCCATCAGCCTTGCCAGGATTAGGGCAGTCGCTGGAGGGAGCTGTCGTACCTGGTCGGCTCTGTGTACCACCTGCTTACCCGGGAGCAGCATTGGTGCTGGCGCTGGTGTGGCACGCTCTGCGTGTCTGGCAGGGATGCCTGGCCTCCAGCACAGGATGATGAACTCGATGAATCACCTGCCTGTTGCCCAGCTTGACACTGGAATTTCTACCAGGCATTCCGGGGGTATAGTGGGCTGGGGATGCAGTCATGGCTCATTCAATGAGCCCTGGGTTAGTGGGAGACGGGGTCCTGCTGCAAGCTGAGAGAGATAGAGGTCCCTGGGAGGAGAAGCCAGGGTTGTGCATGGTCAGCAAGAAAGGAGAACCACGGGGAGTGGAGGGGAGGAAATCCCAGGAGTTCCGGCTCAGAGAGGGAAAGATGTGTCTGTGGAGGAGCCGTGGAGGAAGGGGAGATGATGGAGGCGACTTCTCACATCGGAGCCAGGACAGAGTCCCCCGCGTGGGGGATGCCCAGTTCCACCTGTTACAGGCTGATCCAGTCCTCAGGATCATTCAGTGCCAGACAAGGCCTCCCGGTTGGTGCTGTGAGACCAGGAAGGTCCGAGATACATTTCTTCCTTGGGAGGCTCCAGGGATCTGGGTGCAGAAGGTCAGGTGGGGACTTGCCCCCTGGTGGCTCTCGGTGGCTTTCAGCCGGTGCCTGTCCCACCCTTGTCCATGGCAAATTACCATGAGGGAATTGGCTGCAGCTGCTCATGCCCACAGGACTAATGTTTAACCTGGCCCTGCCTTGGACGTTGGAACTTGCATGAATGCCAAGGGAATTAACTTGTTTGTTCTAGAGGGTGACTCCAAGCCCTGGGCTTAGGGCCCTGGAGGACCCCGGGGGTCTCTGCTGAGTGAATGTGGGCATTTCCTGACTGCTGACCTAAGGGAAGGCCAGGCCAGGGAGCCACTGGCTGTCAGCAGCCCTGGACACAGGAGTGAAGAAAAGCTGCAGGCTGTGGTGAGAGGCAGGTGGTTCTGTCTCAAAGCACCACACCCCATGGCTCCCAGCTCTCTAGTTAGCAAGGACCTCACGTGGCTGTTGTAGCACCGTGAGTTAGGAAACATGACCCTGCTCCCCCTTCAACTCTGCTGATGGTGTAGAGGGCTGAGGAGCCACTCTGTCCCTGCCTGTGCCCAACCTTGGATCCCTCAGGCCACATGTTCGTTTTTTGGAGGGTCATGAATTTGCCTGGTTGCAATGCAGTGGAGGGAGGGGAGGCCCGTGGCTTGGGGGCTAGAGGAGGTGCGGCCAGTTTGCAAGCCTGGTGGGGGGGCCAGTGCACAGCTTAGGGCAGTGGTGGTGGCAGGGAAGCCAGAGGGGATGTCTCCTGCTGGGGAACAAATGACATTTGGCAAACACTGAGCAGCAAAGACAAGAAGGAGAGACAAACGTTCGTTTCCAGGAATGCCGGCACCTGGGGGCAGCAGTTCCACTGGTGTACCCCCAAACGGGGGCGTCAGGGAAATCTAGCCCACGCATGCCATCACCAGGCACCACGTGGGTGTAGGCAGGCAGCTGTGAACATAGACTGTCAGGCAACCAGGTAATACCCAGAATTGCACATAATGCTGGTGGGAAGTTAGGTTTTAAACTAATAGATCTACTTATTTTATTCAAAAAGTAAAGTCACACACACACATCTTCCATCCACTGGTCCATGTCCCAAATGGCTGCAGTGACTGTGGCAGGCTAAAGCCAGAGCCTAGAACTCCGTCTGGGTCTCCTGGATGGAGGCAGGTGCCCAAGCACTTGACCCATCCTTGGCTCATGAACTGGGAGCTGGATAGAGGTGGAGCAGCTGGGACTTGAACCAGTGCCTCAGTGCCAGGGCCCAAGCTGAATGTTAAACAAAAATGCATTGGCTCTGATGGAATGGACGAGAGCAAGCCTGGGAAGGACCGACTTCCTGTACCCCTCTACGACATCACCAGTCGGCGGTGGGGGGAGGACACACTTCCTGAAAGTCAGCGTGAACATAGAGTTCTGCCGAAATCTCAGAGAACATAGAGTTTAGAACTGACCACTTGGTGACAGTTGCACCTGCCTGGGTCCAGAGTCCTCGAGGCTCCAGCTGTTTGAACATAGTGCTGTGACAGGGCATGGCTCAAGCTGGCAGCAAGATTGGACCGAGGGTGTGAGTGTGAGCTGGGGGACGCAGGCCTGGGGGGACGCAAAGCCAGCCTCGGGACTCAGAACCAAATGGCTTGTTCTCTACCAGAATGGTCACACAGGACTTGTCCCTTTCCACACCCACGGGAGCCCTGGGATATAACTGGACAGGGGCTGTAGCCCAAGCTGCTGTCGCCCTGGACAGTACCTTGTTTAGGGGGTCACTGATCTCAAGTGTGGGGTGGGGTGGGCAGGCAGGGCTATGGTGTGACACAGCTTCTCTTCCTGCAGGCCGTCCTTCTTCTTGCCCCTCAGCTCTGCAGCAAACGTGGCCACGCTACTAGTGCAGGTGGCCCTTGCCCCATGTCCGGGGGCGGGGAGGCCAGTGTGGCTGTGCCTTGGGCCACAGGCAGGTCCTTGTCCCTGGGTTTCATCCTCAGAGGCCTGCAAACACACATGTGCACCTGCTTCTTACAAACCTCAAGCTAAAACAGCTCGTCCACAGCAGCTCCTGCCCTTCCTTTCCCCCTGTGTCCCCCCCAGGCTTCCCCAGCCTCTAAGTCCCCGCTCCCACCATGATGCTAGAACAGCGAGTACTCCAAGATGACCTGATTGCCATAGCTCTGTCTTGTTCAATGAATTCTTTTGGTTTTGTTTGAAAGAGAATCTGTTAGTTCACTTCCCAGATGCCCTTTTACATCCAGGGCTGGGCCTAACTGAAGGCTGGTTTCCTGTAGGAAGCACCCAGCCACCCAAGAAATGGAGACCCAGACTTATGAGGTACAGCAAAGTCGAGACTTTGTTTATAAACCTTGCAAGAAGAACTGTGGTTGGTGAGCAGGCAGGCCCAGAACAGTTACAGCAAGCGACTTAGATCTCACTGGCTGAGTACTGTAGGGTGTCCAATCTTCCCTCAGGTCGAGAAGTCACAAGCTTTCCTTCGTCCTCTCTTACTTGGGTATTCTCTTGACAGCTGGCCACTCCCTTGCATCCTGCCCTTCTTCCTGGCCCTCAGCTGTGCAGCAGAAGTGGCCATGCTACTAGTGCAGGTGGCCCTTGCCCCATGTCTGGGCGGGGGCCAGTGTGGCTGTGCCTTGGGCCACGGGCAGGTCCTTGTCCCTGGGTTTTGCTCCATCTGCTGGTCTGTTCACAGTAATTGTCCATTCTGAGTTGGAAATGGACCCCCCAGACCCTTCTCTATGGGTGCCAAGAACCCAAGCACAGAGCCACCAAGGACGAACATTAATGGGAAGTAGGAATTGGAAGCAGAGCTGGGATTCACACTCAGACTCCCTGGCATGGGCTGTGGGTGTCCCACGCAGCGTCCCAACTGCTGGCTATTCAGAAAGCACTTAATTATTGGTAGAATTCTTCTAACTAGTATGTAACCAGTGAAGGTTCTTGACCGAGCCCAGAAAGCTTGCTTTTTTGGGGGCTTCAGTTCTGCTCTGGGGAGATGGCTCCGATGTGTTTCCTTCTTTGTCTGTTGACCTTTGTTGTCCTCTGACAACAAAGTGAATGGCACGGCACGTGACAAGGGGCCCTCTACTTACTGTCAGATGATAGCTACACCCCAATATCAGGCACACTGTGACCCACCGGGAATCCTCAGCAGCCCTGGGTTATATTTCATGAGAACGTGTGTCAGGGCACGGGATGCCAAGTGTGGGGAGGCGGGTCTGCTCGCTGCCTGGAGCGTGGACAGAGGGGGCAGCGGCAGCCTTGACTCATGCTGGGTCCTGTGCTGTGGCTTCTCCTGGCGTGCACACATGGTGCGGCTGCAGTTCAACCTGGTGTGCGCCGATGCCTGGAAGGTGGACCTGTTCCAGTCCTGTGTCAACCTGGGCTTCTTCCTCGGATCCCTGGGCATTGGCTACATTGCAGACAGGTATGTAACTGCCCTGCCTTCCATGCAGGCACCGGGGAGCACGTGACTGGGGTTGGGGGCAGGGGCACCATGGCCCCTTGTGCTGTGCCCACGGTGCATGAAGATGGCAGGGGCTCAAAGCCAAGGTCACGCTCTTAGCAGGTGGCGGAGGTGGGCCATCTCAGAGTGGGAGAGAGTGAACCAGGGACAGATGGCTGCAGCTCTATGTAGGAGCTAGTCATGGGCTGCGGCATACCCAGGAGGGGTGGCAGGCAGGTGGATCCTGTAAGGTGAGCTCAGAGCAGAGCTGTGGACTGGGGAACTCTGTGTCTGGCTCCTGCCCCCAGGTGTTAATGTTCACAGCGTTGGTAATGGGCCGGAAGGGTACAGGGCAAGAAGGGGTGCAGAGGTGAGGAGGGCAAGTGCAGGGGCAAAGGAACCCTAGATGGGGTGAGCTAGTTGGGGAGGACAGCAACTGTCCTGGGAGCACGGAGAGCACAGAGTAGAGGCTTCGCGCAGGGAGACTGTGCCATGGAGGTTAAGAAGGGCCTGTGCTGGGTGTCCGTCTCAGCACCTGTCGCAATGCCATTTGTGGGGAAGGAAGGCCATAAGGGTGCCAAGGTGACCACCGAGAACCATGCTGCTCTGGGCACAGCTACTGTGAGGCTGGCTGGCCTGACTGGGGACTGGCCTCAAGACGAGGGCAGTTTACCTCAGCAGAGCACAGAGCTGGGGTCGGCCTCCTGCGGGCTCTGCCTTCGGCCCCTTTGCCCCCCACCCTGCTTGCTGGTCTCAGGATCCCTCGTGCCCACTGCTGGTTTCTCTGTTGCCGCAGGTTTGGTCGCAAGCTGTGTCTCCTGCTGACCACACTGATCAGCGCCGTGTCGGGGGTGCTCATGGCTGTGGTGCCCGACTACACATCCATGCTGCTCTTCCGTCTGCTGCAGGGCCTGGTCAGCAAGGGCAGCTGGATGTCCGGCTACACACTGAGTAATGATGTGGGAGCCGCACATCCCTCCCATTGCCCCGTCCTATCTCCCACAGGCCACGGCTCCTGCACCTGCCTCCGGCCCCTGCTTCTCTAGGTCCAAGTCACAAAGCCCTCTGGGGCCCCCAGGGCAACCCCAGTCCCCCCCCGCCCCGCCTTTTCTCAAGACCTCTGGCCACTGGGACTCCTTGCAGCTGCTCAGCACGGCAGGTCACTGTGCAGGCTGCTCCTGCCTTGACAGCATTCACCGCGTCCTCAAGTCAGGAGCTCCTGGGCCTCCCTGCCAAGGGGCCCCCTGTGAAGCTGCCACCTTGCACCTGCCATGCCCTATGTCCCTTCCCACTCATCCTAACATGGCACCCCATGCACTCGCCTTCTGCCCCTTCTCATGAGAAGCTGGACACCATGGTGGGGACTCTATGGATGGGGGTCTCCAGGGTAGTACCAGAGTCCTTGAAGTCCCTGCAAGGTATTTGCCAAGCTCAGGGACAGGGCTGGGTTCTGAGATATGGCCCGCTTCCAGTGTGGCCAAAGTGCTGAATCATGACAGCAAGAGGAATGGGGGCAGATAAGGGGTCTTAATAGGCGAGAGTTGGGGCTCTCAGCCTGGGGAAGGAGTGTTGGGGGACACAGACAGCAAAGCCAGGAGGGGTAGGGATGGGGGTGGTGCTGAGGCTGCGGCTGCTTGGAGGCCAGGACCTTGGCTTCCTCCCGCAGCCCCGTGTGACCACACGCCTGTCTCCCAGTCACAGAGTTCGTTGGCTCGGGCTACCGGAGGACTGTGGGGATTCTCTACCAGGTGGCCTTCACTGTGGGGCTGATGGCCCTCTCAGGCGTCGCCTACGCCATCCCGCACTGGCGCTGGCTGCAGCTGACCGTGTCCCTGCCTACTTTTTTGTGCCTCTTGTACTACTGGTAACGCTATCCCTTGGTGTGCTTGGGGGAGGGGCTTGGGTTGGTTTCGGGGCTGTCTCCAAGGGCCGAGTCCTCTGCACTGCTGGGGCACAATGCCCACACACCACGTGTGCTGTGTGGGCCATGCTGGCATTACCTTGGCAGCCATCAGGACTCCTGCATTGGAATCATTGCAGCTAGAAATCAAACTGCTGCTCCCCCATGGGCTGCTGAGGCTTAACCGGCTGCACTACCATCCTGACCCAAGCCTCAGGCAGCTGAGAGTGTACTTGAGTTTCCAAAGGAACCCGATGCCCCCACATCCTCAGCTTGTAACATCTTTGCCCCGTCTACCCTGGCAGCGTGGTGTCCAATGGTTTTAAAGGAAAAGTGCAGACACACACACCTTGGGGCTTGGCAAAGACTCTGGGAACTGGCCGACAGCCCTTACGTTACCTGGAGCTGTGCCTGCATAGTGTGGAGGACGGGTAGCATTTCCTCCAGGCAGGCATGCAGCTGCCAGAGGAGACAGGGCACTCTGCTCCCCAGAGGGAAAGCCGCCACAGCCCCCACCTGCTCTGTGCCTCTTTGTAGGTAGGTGGCTCTGGAGAGTGAGCGACCCCCAGGGCCTCCTGCATGGCTGGCCGTGGCCAGTAGGCAGCGACTCTGGGTCCTTTGGCCCTCTGGGAAACTGCAGTGCCCAGGTGCTGGGAGGGCGGGCCGTGGGAGTCCGTAAGAATGTCCCCTAGTGGCGAGCTGCATCCGCAGGTGTGTACCCGAGTCTCCGCGATGGCTGCTGTCCCAGAAGAGGAACGTGGAGGCGGTCAAGGTCATGGACAGCATCGCTCAGAAGAACGGGAAGCCGCCTCCGGCTGACCTAAAGGTGGCAAAGCTCGTGGGCTTGGTCCGGGCTTCAGAGCTGGGCTTCCCCAGGGGTGGGGAGACCGGTGTGTATGTGGAGGGGGTGTGGGTGTCCCCTGTAAGCTGGTGTGTGTGTGGGTTCCCCCTGTACAGATGGTGTGTGTGTGGGGGGGGCAAGGGTTCCCCCTATACAGCTGGTGTGGGGGCGCTTCCTGCACAGCTGGGGTGCTGCTGATGCTTCGCTCTCCCCTCGCAGTTGCTGTCTCTGGAAGAGGATGTCACAGAGAAGCTGAGCCCTTCCGTGGCCGACCTGTTCCGCACGCCCAACATCAGGAAACACACCTTCATCCTGATGTTCCTGTGGTGAGGACACGCACACACCCCAGGGCTGCCAGCAGCTGGGGCTCCCAGGCTGAAGCCAGAAGTTGGGAACTCCATCCAGCTCCCACGTGGGTGGCAGGGCCTGACGGCTCTTGGGACGCACATGAGCTGGAAGCTGGGATTCGCCAGGAACAATGAGTGACAGCAATGAGTGGCAGCCAGCAGGCACTAAGGCAGGTCCTTCGCAGGGACATGCACTTTATGGGTTCTGCCACAAGGTGGCAGGTGCGCACAGTGGTGAACCCATTTATCAGCCTTTCAAAGCTACTTGCCTTCCTCCTGGTCTTTAGGCTGTTTGTGACCTGGGACAGCGGGAGGGCTTGGGACATTTGTACCCGGGCTCCTCGGGGTTGGTCCCTGTGCCAAGGTGGAGCTGTTACAGAGGAGGCGGTGAGGCCTCCAGTCAGCCCGACTGCTCTTTGGAACAGGTGCTAACCTCTCACCCTCGCAAGTCCCTTCTCACTAGCCAGGTGCCAATGTGGTCATGAAATAGTTCCAGCTCCCCAGATAACATCGTCTCCCCAGAGGGGTGGCTTGAGGGAGACACGAGGCTGGGGTGCGCCACAGCTGCACCGGCACGTTTGTGCATGAGCTTAGCGGAAGGGACTGCGATGATCTCCTTTAGAGCCGAGGCCCAAAGAGGTGGGTTAACAGCCTGGAGGTCACACAGTTTCTACGGCCGTCTCACACCCCCATCCGCTGCCTCACAGTGCCATGAGGTTACCCTGTGAAGGCGTGGCCAGGGACTGGATGCTGGGGTGTAGGGTGAGTGGCAGCGAGTGCTGAGGGCCATCCTGCGAGTCCTGGCCCATCGCTGGCCTGCCTGCCTGCCAGCACCCTCTTCTCCAGCTCCAGGACGTTCTCGCTGAGGCAGGCTGAGGCTCCCTGCAGTGGGGCAGGCTCGTCCCACAGGGCCGGCCATCGCAGTGACTGTGCCCCCTCCCGGTCCAGGTTCACCCTGGCCATGCTCTATCAGGGCATCATCTTGCGCATGGGGGCCACGGCCGGCAACCTCTACATGGATTTCTTCTACTCTTCTCTGGTCGAGTTCCCTGCAGCTGTCATCATCTTGGTCTGTGTCGACCGCGTGGGCCGCATCTACCCCATGGCCGTGTCCAACTTGGCCGCCGCGGCAGCCTGTATCATCTTGATTTTCATCCCCCAGGGTGAGTGGCACATCCTGGGCATTCTGCAGGGGCTTGGAGCTGCGCTGGGTCCCTCTGGCAGGGTTCTGGGGTCAGGGCAGGGGGGTCCCCTTCACCTGGACATTTGCTGTTAGTGGGTGTCACATGGAAGTGTAGCAAATAGGCGAGGAGCGCATTCGAAGCGCACAGCTCTGCAGGTTTCCCTGGAGCAGACCTGGGGAGCAGGCGCGAGGGCAGGCCAGCTTCTGCAGCTGCTGGGCTACTGCAGTGTCCCTCATTTTGAATTGTGCCCCCTGGACCTGTTGTTCCACTGCCGATGGTTGCTTGGGTGACTTATTTCAACAGATTATTTTACTTCAAAGTTAGAGTTACAGAGAGAGGGGGAGAAACAATAGAGAGAGAGATCTTCCATCTGCTGGTTCATTTCCTGAACAGTGATAATGGGGAAAGCTGGGCTGGTCTGAAGCTAGGACCCAGGAGCTTCCTCCATGTTCCCATGTGGGTACAGAGTCCCGAGGCCTTGTAATCCTCTACTACTTTCCAAGGGTATTAGCAGGGAGCTAAGCTGGAAGTGGGGGAGCTGGAACCCGAATTCCCATATGCAGTCCCAGTGCTGCAGACAGAGGAGCAGCCTGTTACACTACCATGCTGGCCCCAGTTTATTATTATTATTATTTATTTGAAAGCACAGTGTAAGAGGTAGTAGGAGAGATCCTTCATTTGCTGGTTTGTTTTTCCAAATGGCTGTTAGAGCCAGGGCTGGTTGGGCCAGGCTCAATCCAGGAGCTCCATCCTGGTCTCCCACATGGGTGGCAGCGGCCATGCACTTGGGCAGGGAGCTGGGTCACAAGTGGAGCAGCCAGAACTGGAACATCTCCTCTGATAGGGGATGCATGACAAAAGGTAACTTAGCCTGCTGTGTCACATGCCAGCCCTGTCACTCAAGTCCTTCCCAGCACGTGCCTGTTGGTTTAACGCTGCGTGAGCGCTCTCATCATGTGGTTTTGGCGCTGGGCACGGGGCTTTGTTTTCCTGGACGTGTGTCCGTGAGCACCACTGGGCCCCCGGGGAGATTGGGAATTAGCTTGGCAGATGTGGCCAGCTTTCCAAAACACTCACTCTTATCACAGACATGTTCTGCTTGCCTGCCACCTCACCGACACTTCCCGAGTCTGCTCTTGTCTTTTTCTGTAGATTTATTTATTTCTATTAGAAAAGCAGATATACAGAGAGAAGGAGAGACACAGAGAAAGAGCCTCCATCTGTTGGTTCAGTCCCCAAGTGCCAAAACTGCCAGAGCTGAGCTGATCTGAAACCAGGAGCCACGAGCTGCTTCTGGGTCTTCCACGTGGTACAGGTCCCAAGGCTTTGGATCATCTTCTGTTGCTTTCCCAGGCCACAAGCAGGGAGCTGGATGGGAAAGTGGAGCAGCCAGTGCACAAATGGGTACCCATATGGGATGCTGGCACTTGCGGGTAGAGAATTAACCAGTTGAGCCATCGCACTAGGCCCAAGGTTGGTGGCTGTGGGTTGTCACCTGCAGTTCCTACCAGCCGAGGGGAACCAAGTGGCCCATGGAGCTGGAGCCCTCTCTGCACCCTTTGCTCTGCGACTCCCCCTACGTGCGCTTGTCTCTTGAGTCGGGTTGGCAGGTGTCTGTGCAGCACGCCAGGGAAAGTGTCCCCCAAAATCTCAGTGTTCTGTGGAACTGGGGCTGAGAATGAGATGGGGTGAAAAAGAGAACTTGCTCACCTTGCCTCCGCCTCCTCCTGGGGTGGTGATGGTCGCGGTGCAGAGAAGACAGGCAGGGACAGAGAGCGGCTGACCTGGGACTTTCCCATTCTCTTTCACATTCACTTCTGGACTTGGGGCCAGACAATGAGGGGCGGAGTTTTGGAAAGCAACAGTGCTGAGTACCAAGGAGGAAGAGGGTGATCTCGGGAGTGCTGGCCTGAATGTGGCTCAGGCACTGTCCCTTCCAGAACCTTCCTCCCCACTCTTCCTGTCCTCTCTGTTTGCCTCCAGTTCAGCTGCATCACAGTCCAAGGCTGTTCTTTGGGAGCTGCTTCAAGACTTTGCATGTGGCCTCATGCATGTAGGGTTGGGGGGCTTCTGCCCCGTTCTGATGTTTGGGTGGGAGAAGGGAAAGAGAAGGTCTGGTGGTGTGGCCTCATTCCTCCTATGGTGCTCAGAGTTTGTGGGAGTCTGGGGAGACGTTGTGCCAGGTCGGTTGGGGGTGACGGAGTCACAGCTCCAGGGCGCACCAGGGGAACGGCCGGACTGAGGTCTGGAGTGAGCCGGAAGCCAGTAGCTATGGACTTTATTCTCAGGGTGGGAGGCACCTGCTGGCGGCAGGGACCAGGGAGCACTGGGCCTGACTAATGTGTTGCATGGAGCCGGCAACCCTAGGAGGCAGGCAGTGTGGTGAAGGTGTGGCCGTGTGCCAGGCACCTGAGCCATCCCTGTGTCTTTCAGAAGTTGCAGGGGCTGTGGGCTTGCCTACAGCCTGGCCAGGATCTCCACTGGGGCACAGAGACCTGGCATGAGGGCTGGCTTGCAGACAGGCCTCAGAGCTTCCATCCATAGTTGGTGTCTAGGGACAAGAGTCAGGTGTGTGACCTGCCTGGCTGCGGCCACTTATGTTCTAGTGCGGGGGGCAGCTGAGTGGCAAGGTTAAAAATGGGTGTGGACAACCCGACTTTTGGCCAGTGATGGCTTTGAGGGCAGGAGCTTCCGGTCACCAAGGCCACTCACAGCAGCCTGCTTGGGGGAGATCAGGCCCCTCCCCTGTCTCCCTGTGCTTTCTGCTGAGATGTGTGTCGGAAGGCAAGGGTGAGAGGAGCCCACCTCGCAAGCTGGCCTGGCTCTGAGCCCTCATGCCTTCCGCTCTGCATCTCATGGAGCCGCGTGCCCAGGCCCCCCAGCCACCTGGCCCCATCTTCCCCGCAGACCTGCACTGGCTGAACATCGTGCTGTCAAGCATCGGTCGCATGGGAGCTACCATTGTCCTGCAGATGATCTGTCTGGTGAATGCCGAGCTGTACCCCACATTCGTCAGGTGAGTATGCTCAGACGGGCAGGACGAGGTGGGGAACCCATATCTGCAGGCATGTCTGTAGGGCCCCGAGGGGTTCTCATGTTTGGATTTGGGAACATTCACTTTAACTTTCCTGGTGGAACACTCCTGACCCCCAAATCTGAAACCGGAACTCCTCCATCATGGATGGGGGATGCCCGAGTTCTGCGACCGTGAAATCTCCTGCCGTTGTGAAGCAATGTCCTCACCCTCTGTCCTCATACCGATGGTTTCCGAGGCCTGAGCGGCCTCCAGTCCCCGGCCACCTCGGAGCATGAGCCACTCAAGTCCTCAGGGCCTTCCTTGTAACATGTGGCATGTGGCACGGCCGGGTTCGGGCAGGTTGAGGCTCGCTTCAGCAGTTCTTAGTCCAGAGACCAAGCCAGCTGTGCCCAACAGTTCCACTGTCACAGACACAGGGCCAGGGCTGACTCAGGTGTCAGCTGTCACAGGTCCTGCACAGGCCGAGTGACCTGTCCCTGAGGGTTTCTCAGTTACCAGGAAGAAAAGCCATGTGCTTAGCAGTAATCTCTGTCTTGGTCTGCCCACACTCCCACGCGTGTCCACACAATGCAAAGGGACATTGTTGTGAAAGGCCCAGTCTGTGCTCAAGGGGGTGACATCTCAATGGCAGCAGGCAGCAGGATTCCATCACATGACAGCTTCCAGGCACTCCACATTTTTAAGACATATTTTTTCATTTTTGTTTGATATTTTTTCATTTTGTTTGACCTACCAGAGGAGAGACAGAGAAAAAGAGCTTCTGTGCGCTGATTCCTGCCCGCCCCCCCAAATGGCCACCATGGCTGGGGCTAAGCCAATCTGAAGCCAGGAGCCAGGAACTCCCTTGAGGTCTCCACGCAGGTCAGGGTCCCCAAGGCTTTGGGCTGGCCTCCACTGCTTTCCCAGGCCACAAGCAAGGAGCTGGATGGGAAGTGGAGCAGCTGGAACACAAACCAGCACCCACATGATAGCTGGTGAAGGATTAGCTAATCAAAGCATCTTGCCAGTCCCTGTCACTCCAAATTTAAACACCAAGTCCTTGGGCCCTGAACCCATGTGGGAGACCTGGAAGAAACTCTGGGCTCCTGGCTTCAGATCTGCTCAGCTCCAGCCATCATGGCCATTTGGGGAGTGAACCAGCAAGTGGAAGATCTTTCTCTCTGTGTCTCCTTCTTTCTCTGTAAAAATCTGCCATTCCAATAAAAATAAGTGTGTAAGAAAGTATTAGGAATGCATTCCCTGGCCCTCACAGTGGAGGTAGAAAGCCTGAGACACGGCTGTAATACTGGTAATACTGGCATGTACTGGCTCCAGGTCTCCGCGGCCTGTGAGCTAAGCTGGCACATCATATGTGTGAGAGGGCAGGCACTCTTGCCCATGTCATGGACAGCTGACTCAGACCAGCTCAAACTCTAGCCCGCTGTGTCCCCCCAAGCCTGTGTCCCCCGACTCCTCCTGATCCCTGCCATGGCTGAGCCGCTGCCCGCTGGGCTTGGCATGGCGCTGCCCTGGGTTAGTGGGGAAGTGTTCTCTGTGTTCTCCAGGAACCTCGGCGTGATGGTGTGCTCCGCCCTCAGCGACATCGGCGGCATCATCGCCCCCTTCATGGTCTTCAGGCTCATGGAGATCTGGCAGCCGCTGCCTCTTATTGTTTTTGGTGAGGCGCCGGGAAGCCCCTGCGGTCCCTCTTCACAGCCAGCAAGGGGCAGTGGGGCTCAGGAGCACTGAATGGGTGGGGTTCCCAGTAAGGGGGCAGAAGGGCCGGAGGGTGCATGAACTGCAGCCATCTCCCTACACGTCCAGTCCCATTTCGCGGGACAGGAACATGCTGCTCCCAGGAGGGGCCAGAGATCATGGCCCTGGTCCTGAGCCAGTAACACATACATGGTACACTCCCAGGGGCTGTGTGATGTAGTGTCCTGCTTGTTATGAATTTGATTCCCAACTCTTCTATAGAACTTTATTTATTTATTTGAAAGTCCGAGTTAGAGAGAGAGATCTTCCGTCTGTGGGTTCATTCACTGGGTAACTGAATTGGCCAGAGTTGGACCAGGACAAACCCAGGAGCCTCATTTGAATCCCTTGCGTGGGTGGCGGGAACCTAAACACTGGGGCTCTCTTCCACAGCTCTTATCATTGGGAGCTGGATTGAAAGTGGAGCAGTTTGCTGGCATTGCAGGTGTTACTACTACCCTGTTCTGCTTCGGGGTCACAGCAATTGAGGACAGGCACAAGGAGACATAGCATCGAGGCGCTCCGTTGGTTCTCCGTGGGTTGGGCGAAGGGGGAGGTGACTAACGCTCCATGGGACCTCCAAGCTCCTGTCCACCTGCTTGGTGGAGGACAGCATGGCTGTTCTTGTTGTGGATACAAGGGACAGGAGAGGAGAAGACACAGGGGAGTAGGAAGAGGGCCCTTACTGCCGTGTTTGGTGATGCTCGCTCTCCACGCTTGTCTGAGCCTGGAGCTGCGTGAAAGTCCAAGTGCATCTGTTTCATTTGAAGGCGTGCTGGCGCTGCTCGCTGCTGGGATGACGCTGCTGCTTCCCGAGACCAAGGGCGTGGCTTTGCCTGAGACCATTGAGGATGCAGAGAATCTCCAGAGGTGAAGTCCTGGGGCCTGGGGTGGGGCACTGCACCTGCCCTGGGGAGTGGCCCGGGGTTACTGCACACCTCCCTGTGATGTGGCTGGGGCGCTGCACCTGGGGAGTGCTGCCCTGCACATCCCCCCGCCGCCGTTCTCTCCGTTTTAAACCTTAGAGTGTTACTTACATGTTTTGGCACAAGTTTATTCCCAAGGCTGCTACATGGGGAAATACGGCACCCCAGTCATGGCTTCCAGGTGAGGACAGAAGAGGGTCCACCCATGTGGGGCCTCAGTTGACAGCTGTCTTGCAAGGTAGAGGCTCCTGTTTGTCAGGCATAGCACCTAAAGTCAGCACCTCTGAGTCGAAACAAAGTAGCCGCTGTCCTCTCAGAACTGTTGGTCCCTGTTGGGGGGACTTTGTGAACCAAGAAGCGTGACTTAAAGTCTTCCCTCTTGTGCCCCAGTGGAGTTGTAGGTCCGACGCTTACAACAACGAGCAAAGAACAGGGACGTGGAAGTGGTTTCTCAGGCCCTTCCAGGCTCAGCTCTGTTCCCAGTTGGGGTGCAGGCATCCTTGTGGTATGGATACAGAATGTTCGATGCAGTCAGAAAAACCTGGGTTTCCATACAGGCGTGGCCCTGGGGCTTGGAAGGCTGTGGAATGTTGCCTGCACATAATAACCCATAATCTAGATGTGAGAATCCGTGGAGGTGACCAAGCCCTTGCCAGGCACCTAGCAGGGGCTTGGTAAATATTAGATTTTCTCGTCTCTTCCTGCAAACTGGACAAATTCCTCAGTGATTCTCAAAGCTTAGCGTGCATGGGAATCAGGCAAAGGAATTGCAAAAATGCACATCTTTTGGATTGTCCTTGACACGAAGGGTGGGCCCCTGGCATCTCCACCCACGATGCCTGTCTGGAACAGGACCTTCTGATTTCTTGGCCCTTGATTCTGAGTGGTGGGAAGACCCACTGGTCCCCTGTTTTCTGATGGGACTGTCCTGTGACCAAGGCTTGGAACCGGTCACCGACAGACTCAACTGCTTCGGGGTTTGGGGCGTGGAGCACCAGGTCGGTTGACCAAGATTGGCCTAGCAGAGAAAGAAGGTCTAGGCCAAGAGCCCCAAACCTGATGAAGTCCCTGATCTCCTGGTCCCGCGCATGTGGGACAAGGCGTCCTCCCCCTGCAGTTTGTTCGTTAGGAATGCAGTTGTCTTTGACAAGGGTTTGCTGGTTTGCTTCCTCCTCTTCTCAGCTTTTGTGCTGCGCTGAGGGGGGCGGCTGAGCCCCTCACTCTGTACCTGCTCTTCCCACCTGATGCTGTTGTACCCATTCCACGGAAGTCCTGGGCTCTTACAAAGACAGTGTCTCCATTCCTCCTGCTCCCTCGCTGCAGGGAGGAGGCCAGGTAGGGCGGGTGCAGGTGGAACCAGCTGATCTTGCTGAGGGCTGATCACCCCAGCCGCGTCGGTGGCACCTGCCGCCTACTCCCTGCAGCCTCTCAGGACCCCGTGGGGCAGTGCTGCTGCTGTGGAACCTCTTCTGCAGGTGACGGGTGCTTGCTAAGTTACCAGATACCACATGCTCACGATGGTGAGAGAGGGAGGCAGTGAAGCCAGCCCAGGGCCACAGGCCTGTGGGCCGTGTGTTCTGTTGAAAGGGTCCATATGTCCTACAGAGGCACTGGCTGTGTCCTGGTTCTAGCAATGGTTTCTAGAAAGACATTGGCATTTGAAATGTTGTTCTGACGTCCAAGTCTCAGGAAACATTGTCCACTTGGATTTTTTTTTTTTTTGCCCCTCCTTATTGAAAACCCTTCTCAGCTCACAGGCTGCTGTGTCAGCCGGTCCCTTGTCTGTGCTGTCTCTATGCCCACCCTCTCATTTGAGGCTGAGCCTCATGCCATGTGCAACGTGACCACTGCTTTTAACCCAGGCACAGTTACTGACCGATGTTCATTTTCCCCCCTCTGTGTCCCTGCAGGAAAGACAAGCCCAAAGAGAACAAGATTTACCTCCAGGTGCAAACATCAGAGCTCAGAAGCCCCTAGAGCAGTACCTGGTGACCACCAGAGAAAGCTGCCACAGCTGCCACCGGGGGAGTTTGGGACTTCCCCGTTTGTCTCCAGCCTCAAGCTCGCTTCCACCGTGCTCCCCAAGAAGCGAATCCTGAAGGACTGTCTGGGGGAAGAGGCCTGGGCTTGACCTGGTTTTATTCTGATTCAAGGTGTCTGGTGCCCTGATACCCTCTGTATCAGACCACTCACCGGAAGTGTTCCCAATATCTAGTAGAACTTTTTTTTTTTTTTGTGAAAACAGCAATTTCATTTCATTTCATTTTACGACAGAGTTTCATAGGCTCTGGGATTCCCTCATCCTACCCCCTGCCTTTCCCCCATGGAGGATTCCTCCACCTTGTTTCAGTATTACAGTCCAAATCCAATCATGATTCCTTCATTGCAAGCATGTACCATGCATAGAGACCAGCATCTTATTGTCCAGATAAATTTAACAGTTTCTTGGGGAGACCATCTCTGGTCTGAAAGCAGAGATGGCAGAATATTATCCCAGCCAATTAAAAGCCACAACATAACATCAACAACAGTTTACAACATTATGGAGTTAATTGACATGGTATTGAGTGACCAATATGTTAGAAAATGCAAGTTCTTAACCACATCCTGTGACTACTTCATTGACATTTCAATTTTAGTTTATACACAGAACCGGCTGCTATACACCTTAAAATGGCTATAGGATACTATTCAGCTGTCTTGTGTCTATTTTCATTTTTGTATTTAGCAGTTTATAGTGTTGAAGCATAATTTTGCTGAACTTGGCTGATTTTAGGATAGTCTAAACTGGATTATAACTCTAACAAGGTATATGTCAACAGTTGAGGCGCAGAACAGTTTTAGGAGGGGTGTGCAGAGAAATCTTCAATACCTTAGTGAGGAGTAACTAATCTTTGTGTCCTACCTAGTAAGGTATACGTGAGTCCAAACTGTCCGTTTCCTGTCTGGTTCTAAGCTTTCCGTGTTGTTCTGTCTACCTAATCCAATTTATCTAGTAGAACTTAACCGTGGCTATGAAAGGTCTTCGTTGCTGGCTTTCCTAAAATGGTGGTTTTGTTCGTGCTTTGGGAGTGATGCCTTCAGGCAGGCATCTGCATTGGCCAAAATGTTTCCACGTGAGACAGCCTGGAAGGACTTTGCGTTTTAAGAATGACAGCTCCCACTGTGGACTGCCTCTAAGTCATGTTCAAATATGAGTATATGTTATGCAGGGTCGGGGTGGAGCCCCGTGGCCATTCTGGGCCAGACATTGCTGCCTGCTATGTCTCAGGCTCTCTGCCTCCCAGTTTTGGTTCTTGTTGGTGGGTCTAGGTTGAATTCCTACCCCAGCTGTGTGTGTCCCAGGAAGCCCGTTTTGGTGCTCACTCTGCCATGGGCTGTGTGCTCCCTGAACCCGTTGTACCGACTTTGCCATTTCCAGAAAGACCACGGGCGTGCCATCTTCAGCACCACTGGGATGGGGTAAGAGGTGGGGACGGCTCCTAACGTGTGTTGGAGACACAGAGCTGACCGCGAGGGTGATAAGGCTTTCCGTTGAAGTCTGCCAGCCTGGTCTAGTTGGGCAAGCACGGCCACAGGCCTGGGGGTTTAGGGCCTGGGCGTTGGTTCCCAGCACCTCTGCCTTTATTGGAGAATAGACATATTTTAACTCCATTTCCCATGAGCCTTTTACCTCTGGGATCCCTGGGGTGGTGGTCCTGGGAGACAGCCTCACTTTAGGACCACAGTCTGCACCTGGGGGCCGAGGGACCCTCTTGGGTATCCTTCCACTGCATCTTCCTCACTCTGGCATTTGGAGGGATTTTTTTTTCCCACTTCAAAATGAGAACAAAGTCAGAGTCAGTGGCAAGAATTCAACAGAAAGAGTGATAGTGGGTTGCAGTGTTCCTTCTTCCACCCTGCACCCCCAGGGGTGCCGTGGTGACTTCCCAACTCCCTCTGTCTGTGCCACCTGGCGGCATGACCTTGGGAGGCACTGGAGTATATTCCCCGCCGATCCTATGCCACTTTCCACCCCTATTACCACCACCCACAGCCCAGCCCAGCTGTCACATAAGGAAGGGACAGGGAAGCTGACTCGGCAGGAGCCCGCAGGTAGGGCTCGGCAGAGAAGCCTCAGCAGACAGAGGAGCAGGTTTGTAGTGGGCTGGGCTAATGGCAGGAGTCCTGTCCTCCTCCCAGTCTGTCTGAGATCAGTTCCATTCCTGGGCTCAGTCTCTTTACTTGGACTTGAGCATGGAGCTGTTTGTGGGCATCCATCCACCCCCTGAGTGGCTGCAACAGGTCATCCAGGGCCCCTGCAGCTCCTGGCCCTGGCCTTCCTTCCTGCAGCTCACTGGTGGGAACCACGGACTCTTACATGCCTGTACGTTTATGATGCTCACTGCCCCCATACTGGTGACTTCTCCCCAATGCTGCCTCCACATCACCTTTTTCCTTTGGTTTATCAGAGTATCAGATTCTTTCTCTGTATCATCCCACCAGAGTTAACAGAGAGATAGAGAGAAAACAAACGAGATGGAAAAGAAAGACGGTGCACCTGTTGGTTGACTCTGCAGAGGGCTGCTACAGCCAGCACTGGGACCAGCTGAAGTCAGGAGCCAGGAGCTTCTTGCAGGTCATCCTATGAGAAAGAAACACTTGAGTCACTTCTGCTGCTTTGCTATTCTATCAGCAGGGAGCCGGATCAGAAGTTGGGGCTGCTCGGGCTTGAAGTGGCATCCGAATGGGATGCTGGTTTTATAGCCAGCAGTTTTTCTTTGCTATGCCCCACCGCCAGCCTCCGGTCTCCTTACAAAGCCACAGTCACCCCACCCCCTGGCTGCACTGGACCCTACTCACCTCCCAGCTCCCACCCGATCAGATCACGTGTCCAGTTTGCTAGCAATGCTTGAGGTTGACTTCTATGTGAGCTTTGGAGATTACATCATGCCCCGGTGACCTTAAACATAAGACAAAGACAAACCTTCTGACCCTGGTGGTGCTTCTGTCCCCTCCTTGGAGACAAGGTGAACATAAAGGACTCAGAAACACCGAGAGCAAGCTCAAAAAGACAAAGATGTTGAAATATGGAGGCTTCCCAGAGGTTGAGCTGAGAGAGTTCCAGAATCATAAAGAGAAGGCAGAGAGTTGGTTGGAACCAGCTGGGCCCCTAAGGAGTAACAAGCCGAGCAACTCACAAGGGCCAGGAGGGCTGAGGGCTGTGTTTGTGTCCACAGGGGCAGGAGAGGGAGGAACGGGAGGTTGTGGCTGAGAAGGACTCTGTCGCAATGTTTGCACAGACACACAGACACTGGCATTTGTCTATGATATGGCCGTCCCAGCCCTGCGTGTGATGGCGGCGCCTGCTCCCCTCGCCCCTCGCACCTCTGACCCCAAGCTGTTGGACTGCCTGCTGCCTCCGTTTGCTTGGGTGTCGTATCACTGTTGGATGATTTTTTTCTTTTCAAGAAAGACAAATGAAGAGAGATAAGGATTTGGATGTTTTGAATTTGGAGATGTTGTCTGGGAGGAAGAAATCAAATGTGGTATATGGAATTCACACAAAGTCCCCTCCTGCAAGATAATTATGTAGATGAGAAGAAAAGCTGAGAGTTTAAAGGAAAAGCTGTTTTTTTTTTTTTTTTTAACTTGAAAACATCATGCTCAAGGACTCAGTAGTGAAATCTAGGAAAGTGGCTTGTGGTGAGCACTAGGGAGGCTCCCCAGTTCCTTCACACTTGGTGTGTTGGGCTGTGTCCCCTGGGCTGCTCCACATACTGCAGCTCCCACATTGTAGTCTGTAATGCAGAATGTGCCAGCAAATACCATGCAGCGGGTGGTGTGATGCCAGCATCTCATATTTAATAAGCCAGTTGGAGCTGTGGCTGCCCCACTAATGACTCAGCTCCCTGATACTGCACTTTGGAAAGCAGTGGGCCCCTGCCGCCCATGTGGGAGACCACGGTTAAGCTCCTGGCTTCACCTTGGCCCAGCCCTGGCTGTTGCAGTCCTTTGGGGCGTGAACCAGAAAACGGAAGAGCTCCTTTCTCTCTGTCTCCCCTTTTCTGTTGCTCTGCCTTTCAAACAAAGGCTGGCTGAATCTTAGGAAAATAAAAAAGGAGAGAAAGGGATTCTGAGAAGGGACGAAGAAAAGGCAGGTGAACAGTAAGGACTCAGGAATATCAAGAGCAAGGTTCAAAAAGACAAAGATGTCAAAATATGGAGGCTTCTCAGGGGTTGAGCCGAGAGAGTTCCAGAATCATAAAGAGAAGGCACAGAGTCGGTTGGAACCAGCTGGGTCCCTAAGGAGTAACAAGCCCATGCTAATGCCAAGGGCCAGGAGGACAGGCTGGGAGCAGAGGAACAGGTGCACTGAGTCCCCGCCCAGTTCATGAGCCGCTCTGCTAATTCGGGACAGCCGAGCTGTGGAGTTCTGCATTGGGCAGCAATAGATCCAGAATGGTATTTTGAAATGACACAGCTTTTTTTTTTTTTTAAAAGGACTTGTTGAATTAAATTAGGATTTGAACTACCTCCTTTTTAAAAAATCAAAAGATGATTTATTAATTTTTTATTGGAAAGGTAGATTTGCAGAGAGAGAAGGTGAGACAGAGAGAGAAAGAGCGAGAGATCTTCATCTATCTGCTGGTTTACTTGCCAGATTTGCACAGTGACTGAAGCAACAGAACATTAAAATTGTGTCCTTAGTTGGCGCTCAGAGACTAAATGTTTTTGCACAAGGGTCATTGTCAAAAACACATTTTTGGCACTCAGCACCATAAAACAAAGTCAGAACAAGCATGTATGTGGCATCCATGGCCATGCCTGGGGCCTGCAGAGAAGTGGGGTTTATTCATTCTTTTTGTTATTGTTGGAAAGCCTGCTTTTTCTGGGATGTCTTTCTTGATGATGTGTGATGATTCCATGCAGGGGCTGTAGATTCTGAGCCAGAAGGGTGTCCAGCTAGCAACGGAACCTTCTGTTATGTTGATGGATGTACAAGCTGGCCCAGCCAGCCTGGGGAACAGCCCGTGTGGAGGTACCCAGAAACCTGTAACTGGAACACCCCTTTGTCCCAGGAACTCCACCAAAACGATGACCAGAGGATTAAGGGACTGCTTTAACACAGCCATGGTTGTCACACCATGTGAGCACCCCCTAAAAGCCTGTGTGTTGAGGGTGCGGCTCCAGGGGTGCCAGGGGTGGGCAACTGGAAGGGGAGGGTCTAACCAGGAGGTCCTTATATCACTTGGGCTGTCCTCAAAGGGGTCAGAGTGTGGTGGCAGCCTGCTTCTTAGTAGGCACAGGAAGAATTTTCTAAAAGCCTGGGCCTGGCCTTACTTGCCTTCTCTGGCTTGCTGATTCCAAATGTGACCACTTGTCACCTCTGCCACCTGCCACGACGTTACGAGGCTCTGACTAGAAAGATGCTTGGACCCCACACTCTAGGTCTTCCAGAGCAGTGAGCCGAGTGGACCATATCTTCTTCACCTCCCTGGGGACCCGTTAGTGTACGTGTGCGTGTTCTCGGCAGTTATTCCCAATGGCCAAAAGGAGGAGACAGTTCAGTTGTCTGCACATGGATGAACGAATGAAAATGTGGTTTGTACAAACAATGGAACGTCACTCAATCTTCAAGAGGGAGGGATCCCCACATGTGCTGCTGCTTGGAGGAACCCCAAGAACAGTGCGCTGGGTGACACACGCCAGCCACTTAAAGACAAATACTGCTGTTGGTTGTGCCCATCTGAGGCCCCAGTAGTAGACACATCCATGGGACACAGAGCAGAACCATTGGGGCCAGGGCTGGGCAGCGGGAGACTGAGGTGCGATCCAGCAGGGACATGGCTTCAGCTTGCGGGGGAGAAGGGCCCTCAAGATGGGTGGTGGTCACTGCCCAGCGATGGGAGAGATCTCAGTGCCTCTGATCTAGCCACGCGACGTGGGTGAAATGCTGAGTGTGGTGTCGTGTGTATTCTAGCACAATAAAAACCATCCTGTGCTAAACACCCACAGGGCTCTGTTTTCTCCACTCACAGCAAAGCAGTCTCAAGTCCCCTTTGGGTTAGGTTATTTCCCACGTCTTTGACTTCTAACTGGTTAATCCCAGTTCCTCCTGAAGTCTCAGTGGAATCATCTCCTCCTCTGAGCAGTCTTGGTCAGGCCTCCCCATGTCACCTGCTTCTGTTAGGGCTGTCCTTTGTGACGTGTGCTCCCGGTGCTACTGCTGTAGATGGCGTCTCTAGGTTTCTATAGATGGGGATGTTGCCCTTGCTGTCACCTGCAGTAGGACTTGCACAGTGGACATGTCATGATTTTTTTTCCCAGAATCTTCTCAAGCTCTGACAATAATGAACCGTGTAGCCGTGGATAGTAGAATGTCAGCTAGAAGTGGTTCCTGCCAGAAGCCCTCGGGACACAGCTGTGAGCCAAGGATGTGGGCCTTGTAGCAGGTGCCTGGCAGGCATGGAGAGGGCTTGCTTTTGAGGAGCCACTGGGTACACAAGGCCCTTGTGTAATTTATGGCACCAGGGCTCTCCCTGCTGCAGGATGACTGCTGGTTTCCATAACACAGTCAGACTGGGTTAAAGGATTAACGTCCTCTGCCCTTTACACTCACTCAGGGGCAGAGTGCTCGGATTCTGGGGCACAGTGCATGAATCCTTTGATGTGGGGCTAAGAGAGCTTGCTTAGTGTCTCAGGAAAAGGCTGGGGGGGGGGCAGCCTGGGGAAGAGGATGGGCAGGAGGGAAGGTGGCCAGCAACAGGGGAACGTGGGGCACCTCAGTTTTGCCAGGCTGGGTTTTGGAGCTCTGCGCAAGTGGAAACCTGCAGGGTAAGACTTGTTCCCTCTGCAGCAACGGCACAGGGGCAGGTGCAGGCTGAGGGAGCAGGGGTGTTACTGGCCTGGAGTGCCTGTCACACAGGGTACCTGCTGGTCCCATGGTCACCTTCTGTGGGACAGGCTTCTGGAAACTTCTAAGCAGCAACTTGAGCCTAAGTTCCCTGTGACCTGGTGATGCGGAGTGGGAGAGGTGTCTCTGTTGTCACAATGGAGTCCTGAGGTTAAGAGAGGGGCTGAAGTAGTCCTGTGCCAAGGTCCGCTGCTTGAGCAAAGAGGACATGAACTGTGTCCTGGGGTTGTTGTAGCTGTGGCTGCCATGGCTCCTGGCCCAGCTGGCTTGCCTTGAGTCTGACTGAGACAAGAGAACTGTGAGCTAAAGAAACCCCTTTTCTTTATACAGCTACCCAGCTTCAAGCATTCCATGACAGTACCAGCAAAGAGGCTGATCTGAATACAAAAAGATACTTGATTGATAAGAATAACAAAGTTGCCTTAACTGAACTATGCCACTAGAAAGCCCTTGGCAGTTTCATTGTAACTCTGTTGGCATCTTCTGATTTGTGCAGCTGCTTTGATTGTTATAAATACTTGCAAGGATAGTTTCACTTTGTTTGCCAATCCAGCAAAGTCAGGGGCTGACGGAGTGAGAGCTGCACCCGGAGTGAGAGCTGCACCCGAGGGATGCTGCTGCTCTTACGGTTAGCTAGTTCCGGATAGAGCTACGGACACTTGTCTCCACTTTTCTGGGGTGACTATAGTTGCTGAGTCAGAGGGTAAGTGCATATTTCATCTTTAAGGAAGCCACCACACTATTTCACAGAACTAACTGTTCTATTTTCTAAATGAACATTTTTAAAGCAAATGCACTTCAAAACATAAACATGCAATAATTAGGGGGAAAAAAAACCCTAAAGTCTTTCCTTGTCTGTTGCCCAACCCCAGCTGTCTTTGAAATAAGTCGCAGTCAGCCTGCTGTGCTTGTCAGTTCTCTGACATCGTCCAAAGGTCACCTGTACTTGTCATCTTGGAGCACCTGTCCGTTTTTAATTCCTTTTCAATCACGTGAGCACATCAGATCTTTGCGGACTTGGTTATTTCTAACTGTGATATCACCAGTAAGCCATGCAGCAAGTCTGTCTGACGTGCCTACGTGCTCATGTCTGTTAGTGAACATGTTCTCATGAAGTACTCAGCTTTGGGCAGTTTGTAGTAGTCACAGGGGCAGATGTGCTTCTTCAAGGGAGGCTGGCAGCCATGAGGACAACCTGAGACACAGGGGACACAAGCTGGGGCAGAGGTGATGGACAGGGGCAGGTCTCTCAGGAGGGAGGGGTTCTCTGAGGAAGGCAGGGAGATCTTGCAGAAGGAGAGAAATCACAGGGACAGTGCAGCTAACTTGGCTGGCAAGTCCTCTGTGGGGTGTGGCTATAGCTTTGGTTTTCATTGTAAGCCCTGCTGTGATTGAAGGGGTCCCATCTTCATTCGTGTGTTGGGACTAACTAGCCAAATTCACGGCCGATGACTACTGGGAAGTGATTAGGGCCAGTTGAGGCTGTGAGCATGGACCTCAGTGGGTGTCCCAGGAGGGCCTGGGTGGCTGTGAGCATGGACCTCAGTGGGTGTCCTAGGAAGGCCTGGGTGGCTGTGAGCATGGACCTCAGTGGGTGTCCTAGGAGGGCCCGGGTGGCTATGAGCATGGACCTCAGTGGGTGTCCTAGGAAGGCCTGGGTGGCTGTGCAGTGAGACAGAGCTCTGAGTCAGCACGTCTGCTAGGGTTCTCTGTGATGCCCTCAGCTGCTGATGGCAAGCAGGACGCCACTCGCCAGAAGCCAAGCACCTGCCGGTGTCTTGCCAGGGATTCCCAGCCCCTGTCTTAGGTATTTTGTAGGATTGCAGAAATGAACTGAGACCTGCATTGGAACTGTTAGACATATACTTCCTATGATATTTCAGGGCGTGTTCACAGAAGTTTTAAACTTTACAGAATTGGAGAGTGTTTTGAGCCTAGCAGTTAGAACTGCCCACATCATCCCTTGGGTGCTTGGGTTTGACTTCTCCAGATCCGACCCTAGCTGGCTGCTCATGAAGACCCTGGAGGTCGAACAGCTGGGTCCCTTTATCCACGGGGAGACCTGGGTTGAGTTCCCAGCTTCTAGCTTTGACCCGGCCCAATCCTGGTCGTGGTAACCACCGGGGAGTGAACCAGCAGATGGCAGTCTCTGTGTCCCAAGCCCAAAGGAATTTTATGAGAATGAAAAAGGACCAATTTTAATTTAATAATGCCACTGCTGCTGCTCATTAAACTCAAGACTTTTTTATTTGTAGAAGTACACAGTTGTATTTGTTCAGTCAGTGTACTGACCACTCAAGGTGTGTTCCTAAGTCTGTGTGGGTTTCCCACTCAAGTCTTACGCCAATAATAATTATCCCCAAAATAAAGATCAATGCATTTTAAAGTGTCCTCACTTCTGCTACCAAAAGAGTTTTGTAAAGTTTGACCTAGATCCTGGAGGACTTGATTGAGCTTTAAATGTTTTCTTCTCTCCTTGGCTTTCTGGTTTTTCAGATATTGCCTGTAGGGTTTTCCTGGCCCACAGTTCCCAATATTTTGGTTTGTGGTCATTGCATATGTAGGGGAAGATACCCAGTGGAGAAACACAAAGATGGAGAGATATTCCAGGAAGCCAGTGTCCATGGTCCTAGGGGTGCTGGTGGGGCTTGCGTGGTGTGAGTCAGACCCTGCCTGTGGCGGAACAGAAAGGCGGGACTCAAGGGCAAGTGTGGTGAGACTGGAAGGACTTTGTGGTGAGTGAAGGAATCTCTGCTTCTGGCCTTGGCATTCCAGAGCCAGGCCACTGTGGGAGTCCTGGTGTCCCCTTACTTGAGTGGACCCTCCGGCTTCTTAACTTGGAGGTAAATCACTTTTTCTCGACTTCTTCTTGGTCTGCAATGAAAAATAAAAGTGGGGAGGAAAAAGGACAGGTCAAAGGACTGCAAACCAAAACAAAGTGGTCCCAAGGAAGTGAGGCAGCAAGTGGGCAGAGCTGCGTTAGTCCTGCACTAACTCGGTGATTCTCACAAGGAAAACAAACTGAGCTTGCTGAGTGGTGAACACAGCCTGGCTAGTCACCAAAACGCCCTTCTAGAAGCAGGGCTACCTTGCACGAGCTCCTTTTTAAGGGTGTCCTGCTCACTCTGTAAAAGAGTGTGAGTGAAGACTCAGTTTATATCCATGGCATAAATAAGATAATGATTGCAAAACCTAGGAGCGGTTGTCATCAGCTCAGCCAACAGAATTTAGGAAATTGTTTGACCAGAGTTCATCTACTCTTGGACAGTTTGACAAGCTGAAGAATGTAACTAAAACACCTGATCAACCTCTCATGGCCTCCTTGTTTCTAGGAAGGCCAGGACACTGCCGACGCTCATTGTGGACACGTTGCTTTCTTCACGCTGCCATTCTTGGCCATGTCCTCCAAATGTGTTCCCATTTTCAGTACTATTGAGTCTGGTGTGGACTGTTCCTTGGCCTCCAGCTCCTCCAAGAAGCCTTTCCACTCAGAGACGACTGGTAACCAAGTTCTGCACCAGTCGCATCCAAGATGGGGGAGTAACAGAAACTCACCCGTGTCCCACAGCGACATCTTGGGCTGTACTTGGAGGAGCCCAACCGCGTGCTCTGAACACCTAGGCTCTCTGTAGCACTGACAAACAAGCCTGCCAACCACAGCAGGAGGGCAGCAGTACTGTCAAGGATGACCTCAGCATTCCAAACAACAACAACAACAACTCAGCCACAGCCTTGGCCACACCTGCCTCGGACTGAGTGTAACTGAAGTGCCCACCTAGTCCAGGGGCTCCAGTACACTGCTGTCCTGCCTGGGAACCTGCCCTGTGAGGTTCAGACAAGTACATGGGCCAGAGAATCCAGCGGCCAAATAGGAACTGTGGCTCCATCACCTTTGGGCAAGTCCTTTAGTCTCTGGCTTTCTGGGTTGTTTTCGGTTATCAATGAGGGTAGGCTTGCTGCCTATGCCTCTGAGTAAATATGCAAGAGAAGCACTTGGGAATGTTAGCCCTTGCTGCCTTTTTTCAAAAGAGGCTTACAGGGAGTAAGGGTGTACACTTGGGAACTGGACAGCCTTAGGTGCAACTAGGGTGGGTCCAGGGTTGTGTCCTTAGGAGTGTAAAGACATGAGGGCTGGGGGAGGGGCTCCTGCCCTGTCCCTTTGTGGCTGAGAGGCTACAGACAGGGACAGCTTCAAAGTCAACTGAGGTCTACACTCCTACTCTCGGATCCCCCTCTTTTAGGTGGTGCGTCCTCCCCCTTTCTGTGCAGGTGGGACCTTCTCTCACCTCTGTAGCAACCCTCAGCTCCTCACTGGCCCTCTGCAGCTCCCAGGCCAAGCATGGATCTGTCTTCTAACTGTGCATGGTGGGCTGGGGTAGTGTAATGCAGAGAATGGGGAAGTACACATGGAGAGCATCTACAATAGCAAGGATCGAGCACTTTGGGCTGGTGGGAACCAGCCTGGTGAATACTAAAGCCACCAGAAGCACAGGTGAGTGCTTGTGTGTGCACATGTGCACGTGAGTGTATGCTGGAGCTTCACTTTGCCATCTCAGAACAACTCAGAACATTTTAAAGTTTCATTTCCAACAAGCAAATCAGGTTGCACACTCTGTTTGACACAGCAGCTAGGAAAGCTGCTTTGAATAATGGTGGCTGCAGGCACTTGACAGATGTGAATTCATTACAGCTACCAAGACCCAGGGCGCAGGTGCTGTTGTCCCATCCTTCAGAGCGAAGAACTGAGACTTGGCAGTGTGAAGACCACACGGATGGGAAGAACAAGGACGGCCGGCCTCTACATCCTATGCCCCTCACCACTGCCTGGGACTGCTCGCTTAGCTCTGAGCTAGCAAGAATAAAACGGACCCCAGAAGTATGCCATCAACACTTGGTGAACTCTGTGTGGGTGATGGAGCTAGGCACACATGGTGAGCAGGACTTGGTCTCTCACCTCCCACAGGGAGGCGCTCGTGTGCACTGCTAGCTGCGCGGATGCAGGAGCACAGGGCAGGGGGCTGGTCTGAGTCAGGCATCCATGTCACAACACGAGCAAGGCAGATAGTGATAGGGAACTAGGCAGCCGGCAATAGGAAATGGCAGGGATTGTGACCAAAATAGAGTGCCTACAAACTCAGCAAGACGAAGGGCCTGCTCAGTGTTACCAATGGCCTTTTTAGCAGATCTGGAACTCCAGTTTATATGGCATGTGCATGGGCCAAACACAGCGTTTGGGATCCAGGAGACCTGCAGGCTCCCAGCACGTGACCTTGGGCAGAGCTGGTGGGGGGTCGCATTCTCTACATTCACACTCTAGGAAGTGCCTTGACACTCTGCAGCTCCACTCTGGTCTCAGTATGGATGGATCACATGGGAAGGTTTTATGAGACTGGCGAAAGTCAGTTCAGCTCCTGGCCATCAAAGCAACCAAAAACACACCAAGGACAAAGCTGGTAAAAACCAGCTGAGCTTGCATAGATCAGCAAGAAGGGTGCCACCCAGCTGGGACCTTATTCAGATCTTCTATCTCCAACTTGCTATTGGAATAGGGTCATAGGACTCAAACTCAGAAATTACAAGATGGGATGCATGGGCTTGTCTCCCTCCTGAGTGAATTTCACAGTCAACCAGTGTGAAGATTCTTGCTCATTTTTCCAGGGAGAAAAACAGCAGTAGTCACAAATACATTGAATATCTATACTCTATTATAGGTACGTATTTTATATTTTTACAAAACAGCAGAATATATACCTTACTATGTATTGATTTTCCCTTCATTAATAATCTAACCTGGAGAACTTTCGTGAGCGGTGCTGCCTCGTCCTTTGCAGTGGGCTGTATAATAGCTCATTTACTATGATTTCTTTAGTTGGTCTTCCAGCTGATGGGCACTTTGGTTGTTCACAGAAAGAGAATGCCTCAGTTACTAATCCTGCATGTGGTGTTCTACACATGCTTGTTCCAGCCGGGGTGGGGTTGCGAGGCTGGAGGACAGGCGCACACACATGCCCAGGGAGGAATAAGTCATGCACTACGGGCAGTAACGCTGGCGACAGCCACTTCGCTGCGTTCTTTGCTGGCACATAACCAGGTCATTGGATCCTCAACAATCCAGGTGGGTGTGAGCACGTCGCTCATGTCCCCTGCTCTCGTGGTGAAGGAGGGTGAGCCTGTTCCCATCTCCCCAGGAGCTGCTTTACTCGCTTTTCACCGAACAGCGTCTACCCCAGTCCTTTGTCCGTTTCCCCTGTGCAATGGCTGCTCTTAGGCTGGTTAGGGGCTTGCTACGTTGGGAGCATCAGCTCTGGCTGGACTAGTCAACTTCTCCCTAGGCCTGACACTTCAGTTCTCACTCAAGGCAGTTCATCAATGCAGAAGTTTTCTTCTGTGAGGACAAGCATACTGACTTATTTTCTCCTCTGGGTCCTGGGTTTGGGGGTCACCTTTACATAGACCTCCCCGCTACGAAGGTGTTTCTTGATACATCTTGGATTGGCTGGCTCCCACTCAGTGCCTGCTGTGCGGCATGGCATCCCGTGGAAAGTGGGGTGCGGAGTTGTGCGGTGGTTCCAGGAGGGGAGCCCCTCCCCTTACCTCTGCATGTTCTCAGCCTCCTCGATGGTCTCGGGCAAAGCCTTCCCTTTGGTCTCCGGCAGCATCAGCACCAGTACTCCCGCCACCAAGCCCACCACAGCTGGAAGGCAAAGACACAGAGCGAGCCACGTCCAACACGGAGCCTCGCGGCTTCCGGGGGACAGCTCCTTTCCTTCTATTTCTTGTGTTTTCCTACACTTATTTATAGATTTATTTTTTGCCATCTATTTTCCATCATAAATACTTTGCCAATTCCCAATGCCATTGCATTACTACTCCTTTTAGGGAAATGAAATCCTCAATATGTTGAGTCAAAATTAGTCCAGGCCAGAGGACACTGCCACAAGTTGTGGATACTTCAGAATTAGAACATAATTCTAAAAAAAAAAAAATTAACCCTGGGAAAAGGACAAGGGTAAGTTGCCAACACATCAGTCAGAAAGTTGGATTCAAGTCAGGACTCGAAGTATGGCAGCAGAGCAGCATTCAAAGGTCTAAGCAGGCCTTGTAGAGCAAATTAAGGAGTTGCTACATTCTGTTGTTCCCTTTTTCCTTGGTCCCCAGCTCTGATTTTGTGTGTGTGTCTTTTTAAACTGTGACAAGAGTTTTTTCTTTTCATCTTTACAATTGTATTTTTTTGTGTCTTTCCATAGTATGATTCAGCAAGTAGATGATGTGTTTTCTAACAGTCTGGGTGTTCCGAAGCGGTGCGTTTCTCACGCCCTCAGTGGCAGGAGAATCCCGGCTCCTGCAGGAAGTGCAGGTCAGCTCAGACTCCCTGCCCTGCTGTGTGCAGGGCACCCTGGTTCTCCAAGCACCTACCCTCACAGGCTCACGTGAGGCCGAGCTGGATGCACGTGGGCCAAGCGCGTTGCAGAGCACCCTGCCCACACGGTGAACTAAAGCCTCTCCGAACTGCCCAAGCTTCACTTGGCTATTGTGTTGTCATCATTAATCATGTTGTAATTAATTAATGCCAGTAAGAGACACATTGAGCTGGTATCTGAATCTCAGAAATCACTGAATTACAGAGAATGCAACATATTAATCCAGCTACTGTCCACCTGCATTTTGTATTTTCAAAGACAAATTCAGTTAGCCAGGACAAATTCAGTTAGCCTTGTCCATCTTCAGCTCTTTTGATGAGGATTTTCCAACAGGTTGATTTTTTCCCTCAAGGCCTCTTGGATTACTGCTCAATGGTTAGTTCAAGTCCACAGTTATCACACCAGCATTGGGTGAGAAAGAAATGGGAAAAAAAGCCGAACTACAAAACTGTTAGTTTTGATTCCTGTGGGATAACAGATTAAAGGTTGGAAAGGGCAAGAGATAAGCCACTAGCAACAATGAAACTGAAGGGCTTTGAGTTCACTTGAAATACTGACGTTCAAAATGAGTAGTTATGGGGGAGGCGTCCACCTAGCAGGGAAGACAGCCTAACCTTGGGGTGACAGCCGGCTCTGGCCTGGCTCTGGGAGGCACAGGCATGGCTCACTAACTGGGTTATTGCCACCCATGTGGGAGGCCTGGACTGTGCGCCTGGGTTCCCAGTGTTGGCCCAACCAAGACTTGGTTGTTGTGCGCACTGGGGAGTAAAGGAACAGATGGGAGCACGCTCGCTCTGTCTGCCTCTCTCGCTGTCTTACCCATAAATAAAGTTTAAAGTTGTGAGACATTATCAGCAAGCATCATTCCCTTACCTTCTTCTTCAGGAGAATGAATGTGAGGCTCAACTTTATTTCTTATTCTGGGTGTGGACTCTGCGTTGTCAGAACAGGAAGCATCCACTTGCTATCCAAAAACTATCCTGCTGACCCCACGACCACCCTCTGTCCCCAGTGCTGGGGAGCAAGAAATCTGGGGCACAGATACCCTGTGGTCACAGCACAGCTGTCACGTGGGGTAAAGAGCCCGTGTGCTGTCAGCTCTGGCCAGGCTGTGCTCAGTGGGTGTGTTTTGAGCTTTGGGATGCTGGCAGGTGCGTGTGGTGTGTCTGAATCTGAACACAGGGGGTGCAGACAGCCCCAGTGGGAGAAGGCAGAGACTCACGCCACATTCTGCCTGTGTGCTGAGCGCTGGTTAGGAGACCTGCCCGTCACCTGTCACTTCCTGTCCTGGAGGCAGGGGTTGGGGAGGGGCAAGTGCAGCTTGCTTCCTTTCCACCTGAGCGTTGCTCCTGAAATCCCCCTGGCCAGGAAGGAACCGGCAGGGATTTTTTCCTGGGGTTTGAACTTGTCCTGTCCAACATTTTCAACGGCCTCGCCTACAAGGGGGAGGGCTCTGTGTTTCACTGAGTAGGGTGGAGGCAGCAGCCGGCCGTGGTCCCTGCCTCTGATCTGATGTCTTGGCCTTTGGCAAAGCGAGCATTCCCACCCATTCAGTCCTCAAGGCAGGAAGCAAACCCAGGCGCAGGGTTTCTCACCAAATACCAGCAGGGGGAGCTGCAGCCAGATGGCCGTGAGCCGGTAGACGAGGAAGGGCGTGATGATGCCGCCGATGTCGCACAGCGAGGAGCAGACCATGACACCGAGATTCCTGTGACCAAACCAAAAGGAAGCCTCGCTCCTAGAAGCACTGCCCACATAGGGTCAGTGCCATGCCCACGCTCCTCATCAAGGACCCCACTCTTCTTCTCTTCCCCTGCCCTCCAGTACACCTGTCTGCTGCTCTCTCTTCTATAGCCACGGGAGACACTCTCTCCTACCTCAACACCAAAGCCTGCACACCTCACCCGGCCTGCGCCTGTGCCACCCTGCGCTCTGGCTACTGCTTTCCCTCGCCTGTTTGAGTAGTCCCAGCCTGGGGCGAAGCCGGGGCACTCACCTGATAAAGGTGGGGTACAGCTCAGCGTTGACCAGGCAGACCATCTCATAGCCCATGGTAATCCCCATTCTGCCCAAACAGGCCATGGCGATCTTCAGCCCCTGCAGATCTGACGGAGACACGGCCCCTTGTACAACTGTGGCTGCAAGCTCCGAGCCTCTGTGTGTGTGTGTGTGTGTGAGATTTTAACTCCAGACTCCAGCCAGACAGCAAAATTCCATCTCCACAAGTTCCAGAAAATGCTGGCAGATTCCTTGTGTCTGCTTCGGCCTTAGATATAAATTCTAATACTTTGCTTTATATTTTAAAAGATGGTTCTTTTAAAAGTAGTTTTTGGGTTCATGGTGAAGTTAAGACGATGGTCTAGAGACTTGCCATCGTCACTGTGTGGCCTCCCCGGTCACTGTCACCCTCCACTTGGTGATGTTAGGGCTGGCATACCTGTGTGGACCCACCAGCACTCCTTAGTGGGGTTGGTGCTGGGGTGGGGATGGACATTGTACATACAGCCATGTCCACCATAGCAGGGTTTCTCATGGTATGGTAGCCTCCAAATCAGTGTGGGAGGTATTCCGAACAGGAAGCTCAGTAGACCCGGCTCCTTGAGCTTGGACCAGAAATACAAGCGTAAACACACCTCCCTCTGTGCTGTCATGGCCCTGCACATCCTGTTAAGGAGTCTTAACTCTTGTCTCCATGGTCCTGCCTCCAGGACTCTATTTAGACCTCAGTGGTTAATAGTGCTGTGCACAGAATTGTCCACACACCCACTGCTGGGCCGCCTTTGCAGGGGCCACTCCCAAAGAAACAGCAAAACCTGGACTTATCTGAAATGATTGCTGATATTGTCAGGGTTCCAGAAACAATCCACACGGCTGCCAGGACCCTGTCTTGTAGGTTTCTGCCCCTGCCCCTCCATGGAGAAAGCATTTTAGAAGGAACGAAGAGGGGCTGAGTACTGCTTACTGATGGCGTTATTCCGCAAGGCCATGGGAGAGGGCCAGGCTGTTGCCTGTATCATATCCTGGAAGCACTGGGGTGAGACTTTGAGGTGGGCCTGCCCTTTCCCAAAGCTCACATTGTCTGCTCCAGGCCCGCTTTGTGGCCTGTGCTGTAGGTGCTACCACACCAGGCAGTGCCTGGGGCTCACTGTTTGGAAGGGCAAATGTGCACCTGCTCCCAGGCTGGGCCTGCCTTCTTTCCAAGTGGACCCAAAAGATCAATTACCCATGCTTCCTCTCAAAGGGCAGTGACCAAGGCCTCATGGGTCAGCCCCCAGCTCAGGTTTGACTTACCATCAGGGATGAAGACTAAGGCTAGGCAGGCGACCCCTGCCACCATATTGAACACGGCCCAAGGATAGCGGCGGCCGATGCGGTCGATGGTGACAATGATGATGAAGGCAGCTGGGAATTCCATCAGAGCGGAGTAGAAGAAGTCCAAATAGACGTCACTCCCGGCAAGGCCCGTGTGCATGATGAGGCCCTGGTACAGAACCGAGCCTGTGAACCTGAATGAAGCAGAGCACAAAGCAGCATCCAGCGGAGAATCAAAAGGGACCCACCCTGGACAAGACGCTCCTGGAAAAACAGCCCTGACGTAGCTCGCTCCACCCCACCTGTTCATGCTCTCCGATGTGCCCCGTAGTTGGCTGCAACCCCCAAACCCACAAAGTGGATGAGATCAGTGTAGCCTGACACAGTACCTGGGGGTTATTTTGTGACATGACACTGAGTTATCTGTGACTGTGAAACCTCTCTCTTTGGGGCCTTCAATATGGTTGGGATCAAAAGGATTGAGAGCTGCATTCACACTTTAGGGGTCCTAGGACCTGGCCCATGTATCCCCTCTTTCTGATGGTTTCCCTCCTGGCAACATGCAAACGTTTTTGACAGTGTTTCTGCCTGTGCCGCCTACAGCAGCCACTGCATGTCATGGAAAATGTGAGGTCGGTCGGCAAGAATCCCAATGGTTCTGAAAAGGAGAGAAAGGGAGGGTAGGAGGGTTTCCAATGTGCCTTGTCTGTGCAGGGCGGGAAGGAGCTTGCCGCCTTAGTGCCCCAGTGCGGGGCTACCGTCTGTAGTTGTAAATCTTTCCTGGGCTGGCCCTGGGAGCCCCTGCTGGGGGAGGAAAGTGAGCTGCTCTAGCAAGGCCTGATTCTGAGCTGTGGACGGATTAAGCCACGAGTGTGGTTCAAGTCCAAGTCACAGTGGATTGTTCTTGTTCAGATCTTTTTTCCCCCTGTCTGGGGAGAAAAGGAGAAGCAACGATCCTCTTCTTGCTGGCGTATTGTTGAGTTTTACACTCATGGTCAGGGTCGGTTGGCCTGCACCAGCAGTGCCCAGGGGTCAGCCCATTTGCGAATCACCTGCTCAGAAACATTGATTCCTGGGCTGAGACCAATTATATCAGTCTTTTGGAGATGAGGGCATGGCTGTGGGAGTCTGCAGCCTCCCAGGTGATTGTTCTGCTAAGCTCTGCTCTGTGCTTAGGGACCCGAGAAAGCACAGCTTACCAGCGACCACACATGGCTGGCTGCCATCCATGCTGGTACCAGGCTAAGTGACATTGGGAAGGTGCCCCAGCTGCCTCCTTAGTGTGGAAGGAAAGGCCAAAGAAGGGACATCCATGTGAGCCATATGTCTTACCAGTTGTACATCAAGATGAGTGTGTGTTTCCTCATCTGGGGTGTCCTGACCAAGTCAAGGAAGGATGGACTGAGCTTCTCACTGACTTCCTCGTCTACTCTCAGGCTCTGAGAAAAGAACAGGAAAATGGGTGTCTGGCCAGTGATGGCCTCCGGGGGTCACCTAGGGGATAACTGCAGGGCTTCTGCTCAGCGTGTGCCTGCCATGTGCAGGTGGGACCCACGCCCGCTCCCTGACTCTTTATAAAGCCCTGCATGTGGGCCTGTTTCTTTTGATCCCATTTCACAGAAGAGGAAGCTGGAGTAGGAGAAGTTGAGAAACTCCTGGCGTTTGCCTAAGGGACACCAAGTGTGGCAGGTGAAGAAGGATATGGCCATGATGGCCAAGGAGCAAGCCACTGGGTGCCTACCTGGACCCATTCAGACCAGCACAGGTGCCCCCTGGAGGTGGTCAGAGAAGTGAGCCGTGCGTCAGGAGGAGCAGAGACCGAAACCTGGGAAGCCATGCTTCCCTGCATAGCTGGCAAAGGAGGGACTCCATCCAACTGCCTCCTCTCTAACAGGACTGTGTGATGGGTGTGAAAGAATGGGACTCATGACCCACAGCAATGCCCACACCTGCCCTGCATCTCCTGTCAGCTGAATCCCTTGGGCGACAGCCAGAAGATCCATTCTTGCTAAGAGCTGGTGGCACTTGGGTGTCCACCCCATCTACACAGACTGGGGCAGGAGGGGGAGAAGGAAGAGGGGCTGGCAGGGAATGCCACCATTGCCAATGCCAGGGAGATAAACCTCAGGCTCTCCCGGGCCACCTCCTTTGGCCTCTTCGTCAGAAACGATTTGTGTGCATTTTGCTGTACCTTCTCATTGGTTCCTGCTCTCTCTTTCAGCCCACTCAGACAAAGCGGTCTGAGTTCAACGTGCTGAGATCTAGCTGTCAGAGGCAAACTACACCCCCTCCCATGGGGAAACAGACTCCCCAGCACTCAGTGCTGCTTAAAAGGCAGGGAGGGCTTGGTGTGTGTTGGTGGGGTGGTTTCTATCCAAAGTGCTTAACACTCCTCAGCCTGTGTGTTTGCAGAGCTGTCCTGCTGCATGTGACAGGGCAGGACAGCTCAGGGTGTGGGGGGCAAGTGGCCAGAGGAGATTTGAGGGGCTCAGACCCCTCAATGGGCTTTGCAATGACCTCTACTTGCCTTATGGCTTGGTGTTTTCTGTCTGCCCAGAGAATCTCTCTTGGTCCATGAAGGATTCTATTGCATTTCATCATGGCAGGTCCAGCATAGCACCATCGACCACCCCCACCCTTCCCCGGGGCAGCACAGCACCATCCCCCACCCTTCCCCAGCTCACCTGAAGAGATGTGGGCAGAGATTTTCCATTCTTCTTGGCAATGTATTTCATGATCCTCAAGGCTTTGGCATTTTTGTTCTGGGAGATCAGCCACCTTGGAGACTCAGGGATGCACCTAGGGCCCAAGGTCAGGGGAGGGGAACTTGTTATCCACACTGTCACCCTGTGGGCCTCTGACCATGCGGGATTCCAGGGGGGCTCACAGGGGAGTAAAGACGGCACTTTGGGGGTTCTGCCATCTTCCCTCCCTCGACTGCTGACATGTACCAGACTTGTCCGGGAAGCCTTCAATGACTCCTGCTTGGTGATTGCTAAGCAGAGGTGCCACCTCTCTAACAGGAATGCTACATGAATGCCACCTAATGCCCATCTGTGTGCTCAGGAAGGCCAGGCAGGACAGCAGATGGGCCCTGGGACTTGGAAGGTCCTGAGAAGCAACAGTGAGGGGCTTGGCAGCAGTGCAGGTGAGCTGTGCGAGCAAACCACCTAGGATGGGGCGGGGGAAAGCAGGGATTTCAGAAAGTCTGTGGGAAGTGGGATGAACAGATAAACTTATTTTTGCTTAAAAAAATCTTGAAGCCTATGCCTGCATGAGAAGATTCTTCAGGAAGTGGAGAGTGTTATGGGGGGGAAAAAAAAGAAAAGAAAGGAAGAAGGAAAAAAAATCGTAGGTGGATTTCCCCAAATTTTTGGCAACCAAACAAGCTTGTCTTTCAATCCCGTTTTTCTATCAAGTCTTGGAAGTGCCCTTGGTTATCTCAGAACTTATTTCCCAAAGGAATGTTCCAAGTCAGAGTGTGGGGAATGCAAAGCCAGGCTGTGTAGTTGGAGCTCTCCATCCAGGGGAGGGGCTGCCTACATTCATGGGGAGCAGAAGGAGGGGCTGGCGGTGCTGCCGTCAAGGTCACCATGGCTAAAGGTAGAAGGTCTAGTGGGGACATCCCTCTAGCCCAAATGGGAGTGCTGTTTGTGTAGCAGGTTCAGAGAGAAGACAGGGGCTGGTCCTGGGCTAAGATTGGCTGTGGGCTTTCAGCTGACCGCCACCAGGGTTTGTAGCATGAACCTGAATGTTGAGACGGTCCTCCTGCAAAGCCATTTTCCAGCTGGCTCCTAGAGCCTTGGGAGCAGCTGTGGCTGACTACAGCACAGGGTGCAGCAGTAGCTGCACTCGCTGTTTCCTGAGCTGGAGAGCCAGAGACCGTGACGAGGTGGTGTGATTGGAACAGCTTCAGTCTCGGGGCCAGGAGTGGGGGTGGGAGGAGTTCAGCCGGCTGTGGGTAGCCACATCCAAATAAGGGAGCCACCACATAGAACTCAAATGGGATTTTTTGGAGACTTATGAGCATGTGGGGAACACGAGAGACCTAGACAACTAGGAGGGAGCTGTGTCCTGAGGTTCACAGCACAGTGGGGCAACCGCATTATGTGGGGTGATGGGTGCTCAGAATGCTCCATTATCTGTCTCCTGGAGACCTGGAGGATGGAGCTACGAGGCTTCAAAGGGAGAGGGGAAGGGAGATGGAACCGCAGCTGCTGCAATAGAATCAGAGGTCACCATGCACCTACATCGAATTACCACAGGGCCTCCCATGCGTGTGTGTATACTCATTTCATGTGAGCCAAAATCTTGCATGAAAATTACATAAGAAATATACTCAGTGATTGAAAACAGTGTCAGGAAGGGAAAGTACTAGCTCCATTCCAAGTCCTTGTGTGCAAGCTTTGGAGTCTGTGGCCAAGTGGGTGAAAGGAGTGTCATCCATGCTGTCGTCCCAGGGAACTCTGGAGCCCCCCAAGCAGTGATGTATAGTCAAGTTCACTGAGCATGATAAGGCCCCAGCAGGTCCCGTCAGGATGGCCAGGAGGGCTTTAGGGGTCCCCACATGGACCTCAGCCCCTCCTCTGGCCTCCTCAGCCCCTCGGCTCCTGACGCTCCTTCTTCTGCCCAACACACCCTGTGCTCACAGTTCCCCTTCCTCTGGCTGGCTACTAAGATTGGAATTTATCGGTGTTTCGATCCATGTCCTCTCCCCACAGCGACAACAAAGACACACATGGACTTGACTTGAATTTCAGAACCTTTCATTTCTCTGGCCCTCTGGTATCTGCTTGTGGTGTCCTTCCAAAACCTCAAGTCCAGCAGGTCCAGACCTGTACTACCATACTCCTTCCACACCTCAACTCTTTGCACACCACTCCCGGCTCCATGCAGATGCACCGCCTGCACTGGGGCTCACCCACCAGACATCTGCTCTGCCACTGCCACCACATCAGAGCAGCCTACCACCTCTCCCTCACCACACCTGTGATGTCAGTCTCAGTCTAGGCCCTTGTCATTCCTTGCCAGAGCCCTGTTCCTGCTTCTTTCTCCAGAGCACTGTGAAGGATCTTTCAGAAATGAACTCCCTCATGGAGTGTGGGGAATTGTAAGAAAATTTAAATTGATTCTATTGCCTGACAAGTGGCCAGGAGCCTGGGGAATGGATGGGCCTGACAACTGTTGAACACTCAATGCCAACAAAATGGGGCCGGTATAGTGGCTCAACAGTCTAATCTTCTACCTACAAGCACCAGAATCCCATATGGGCGCCGGTTCACGTCTTGGCTGCTCCACTTCCCTTCCAGCTCCCTGCTTGTGGCCTGGGAAATCAGTAAAGGATGAGCCAAATCCTTCAGAGCCTGCATTCATGTGGGAGATCTGGAAGAAATTCCTGGCTCCTTGGTTCGGATTCACTCAGCTCCGGCCGTTGGGCCACTCGGGGAGTGAGCCAGTAGATGAAAGATCTTTGTCTTTTCTTCCCTTTGGAAATCTGCTTTTCCAATGAAAATAAATAAATCTTAAAAAAATAAAATGCCAATAAGAATCTTGGCTTATAGGACAATGAAGCAATGGTCAGAAAGACCATTTGGGAATCCATCAGAGCAAATCGGGGTGAGAAAAAACTATTTGCTAATGGGCATAGGAAGAGGGAGTAGATTCAGAGGCACAGAGAGGTAATCATAGGAGGCAGGGGGTGGCAGGGTCCTCGCAGAACACTCGACACCGCCTTGGCTTGGGTCTTCTAATCTGTACATTAAAGCCCAACCGCAGTGAGTGGTTTGAAGGGACTTTGGGCAGGTGGCATGATTTGGATGAGGTTTGAACAGGATCCCATTTGGGGACTCAGCTCCTCCTCCAAAGAGGAACAAAGACCTGAGCTTGACCAGAAAGAGGCCCTTGCAGGAGGGACTTCTCATCATTTCTGCCGTTTTCCTTGTGTTTCCCTTGGGAAGGGATGAGCAATACAGATTACCTGCCTCGCAAGCTGGGATTGGTACAGTCTAGCTCAAGCACTATGTTGGTCCCTTCTGGGATGAAAGCCGCTGTGATCGACTGGGGATGTCTGTGTTGGGCACGGACATGGAAGAGTGGGATATGAGTGCCATTCTATGCCCTCTTCATCCTTCAGTGTCCACTGAGAAGACAGGGGACAGCCACCGTGTCATTGTGCATGTGCAGTGGTGTGAAGTCTCATCTAGGCCACAGCTGCTGCAGCCTACTAAAGCTCGAGTAAGTAAGGACCATGGAATTGCAAGATGAAGCCTGAAGCGAGAGGTACACTTGATTTTCCAAGGAATTGGGTAGTGTGTAAATAGGCCTGAGCAGTGAGGAAAAACTTTGAAGTGCAAGAAAAGGCAAACAAGCTAGGGCAGGTTCTCTTCCTTCGGTTCCAGAGACTCACCAGTAGTAGAGCAGGAAGCAGAAGTTGGGCAGGGTCACAGCGAGCTGCAGCCACCTCCAGTGAGGGAGGGCGTAGGCCACCCCGACTAGCACCAGCAGGCCGAAGGTGAAGGCCACCTGGTACAGAATGCCCACCGTTCTTCGGTAACTTGGCCCGACGAACTCCGTAACTGCACAGAGATTCCAAATGTTAGCCCCGTGCAGTGCCCAGGAGGGCTCTCCAGGAAACTCCAACATTCTATATGTTCTATATAGCTCACTGAGAAATTGTTAATGTCCCCTAGGTGGGTGGGGCAGAGCTTGTCATAATTGGCACTGTTGTGCTAACTTACAGAACTCTTGCATTCCCACTTTGGATGGGAGGAAAAGCCTGCTGACAGAAGCCAAACAGTAGGATTTATATATAGAAGGGCAAGGACAAATGCAATGACAGACGGTAACACGTTTTTATCTGGAGCATGTGATAAGGTAGCGATAAGCAAAGACTTGAGCAAAGGAACCAAACACAGTGTCCAGACTGTACATGATTTTTACATAAATGAGCACCTGAATAGAATGCATTCTCTCTAATAGGGCCAGCATTTGCTTTGAAATACTTTTTATCTGTGTAAGTGGTTTGCAAACCCAGCAGTAGGGCTGGAGGCCTGCTAGAATTGGCAAGAATTCAGTTTCACATTCTCAGAAGTCCCACAGCCCGGCTGTGCAAGCTCAGTGCCTTGGAGTCAGCTGTGGAGGCAAATGGAAGGAGGCAGACACAAGCCAGGGGCTTGGAGCCCCCCAGGAGCTCATTTCCCAGCACACCTGTGTGCATGGCGTGACACTCAGCTTCCACTGCCCCCACAATTGGGTCCAGACAGATACACGAGGCCTGTGTATCCTTTTCTAGGCAGAGATTTCAACATGTTTATGGAAAGTGAAGTCAAAAGATAACAGGCTGGATACACAGCAGGTGAAGCCATTGCCTGCAAGTGTGGCAACCCGTATGAGCGCTGTGGTTCAAGTTCTAGCTGCTCCACTTCCCATCTAGTTCCCTACTAACGCACTTGAGGAGGCAGCACAAGGTGGCCCAAGTACCCGGGCCCCAGCCATCCATCAGGGAGACCTGGGTGGAGTTCCAGGCTCCTGGATTTGGGCTGGCCCAGCTTTGGCTCTTGTGGCCATTTGGGGAGTGAATAAGTGGAAGGAGAATCTCTTTCTCTCTGTAGTTGTCTTTCAAACAAATAAAATACATCTTGTTTTTATTAAAACAAAGATGCATTTCTTGTGAACTTATTTAAGATCCTTGGTGGATCAACCAAGGCAGTGTTGAGATCCTGGCTGCCACCTGAGGCCTGTTTTTGCTTTAAAGATCTGGCAGATGTATCACAGACTGTAACTGTTATAAACCAGACAAATGCGCCCTGAGAGCATCTCTACCTGTACGAATTACCTGAAAGGATCTTAAGGAAGAATTAAATGAGAAGACGTAAGTGCTCAGGAAATGGACAGGTCTGAGTTTCACAGTGGCTGAAGGTAAGGACAGGTTAGAGGAAAGTGATCAGAAAGAAGGCGTGACAGGTGTGTGTCAGGGACACTCAGAGGGACTGGGGAGGCAATGAGCAGGAGGTTGTGGGGTCAACCTCCGTTGAAATTGACCTTGACACCATTAAATGTCACACGTTTCTCTCCATTACATCTTCTAGCATCCAAACAACTGGCTGAAGAACTGCGTGCATTCCTTCCCTCTCTGTCCAGACACTCCTCAGGGGCTCCCTGGCAGGTGCAGTTTTAAGCACTTCTTTCACCTGATGGGATTTCCCCTGGTTAACTTCCCTGGGTGCAGTTGCAGGCATGTGAATGTGTTCTGGCTTGCGCTTGAGTTGTGAGAGCTGCATCATTTAGATATTTGTATCCCAGGTGTGTGCCAAGCAGTGGGATGTGAATTCTATTCCTGGCTCTGGAAGTGGTGGGTGGAGTAACCTGGGTGGGTTGATTATAGGACCTGCACTGTTGTGCGTGCACGGAAGGGAGCTGTAGTTTGCTGGAATGGATTTACATAAAGCGACAGAGTCCTTGAGAAATGGAACAAATCTCTGATCACTCAATCCTGCGCTTGACCAGGCCTGCTAGGCTTCACTTTTTTTCTGTACCCCAGAGTCCAGAGAACAAAAACTTTAAGAGCTATCTAGGCCTCGGAGGCATGCTGCTTGTTCCCCCCGTTCCTGCCGGCTGTTTGTTCTTGTTCCTTATGGGAGAAGTGCAGAACAGGTTGACCTGTTGTGTTTTAGAACTGCTTTTTATTTTTTTTAAACCACAAGCCCAATCTCCCCATGTGATGGTGACGCTGGGTCCACCTCTCTGCACAGCACCCCCGCCGACCTGTTTGTCCTGGCAGCCTTGCTGCTGTGTTCCTGCAGCCCCAAGCCCCAAGCCCCACATTCTTACTCTGGATGTATCCTATCATCCAGCTGGCTTTGCTGACCAGGCCTTGGATCAGGCGGAAGATCAATACCCAGGCGTAGCTGGGCGACACGGCCATGAGGACTCCAGACGACGCATTTATGAGGATGGTGACTAAGAGGCAGAGCTTGCGGCCAAACCTGCAGGTGGAGAGATGGGAGAGAGGGGGAGAGAATAAACCTGGAGGAAAAACCCCGCTAAAATAGAACAGAATTCACGGGGGTTACGGAAATCCAGACAAAATCAGAGGTTAGCTCTCAACCACAGACATGCCATGGAGTGAAGTCACCTCAGAATCCCTGAAATCAGATCCATTCTGGACTCTTCCTCAATGTCCTGGGCACCCACTTAAGTACAAGGAGCCTCGCTCACACCAGGGCCAGTGCCCCTTCTGGTCCCACCCTGAGGCAGGTGGTCTGAGGAGTGGTCGTCCTCCCAGGTCCTCCCTGGGCCTAGCTAGCAATTACATCACCCTGTGAACTGGGGAGGGGGCATTGTGAATCTGCCCTCGGCCAGCTGCCCACTCAGCGAGGCTTTGTCTCGGGAAAAGCCAGGACTTCCCCTTCACTGTACTCTTCATCTCTTATCAACATTGTTTGGCCTTGCGTGTCTCCATGGAAACCATGTGTCACATGTGTGGTATGGCCACTCCCTGGGGCCATGGCCACGCAGCCCCTTCTATGTGTTTTCTTGGTCTCAGGACGCAGAGTAGAGGGAAAATCTGAGTGCTCCGAGTATCCCCATAGCCTTCCCCCTCACCATGAGCAAGGCGGGCAAGTTGTCCACCCTTACTCGACCTCTTCATGTGACCCCTGCCAGGGAGCTGATTACAGACACAGGTGCGAGCACCTGCTCTGTTCTTACTCTCACTTGTGCAGCCCGACATCTTGTGTTCATATTTTCATCACATCCACCTGATGGTGCTCAGAAAGGTACCTGACTCTGACTCTGTTGTGAATGCAGATTCCAACAATTCTTCATGGCAAGCAATTATTTAACTTTTATTTATCCACTTCTGTCTGAACCTGTACTGTCTGTCGCACACCCTCCTGGGCAGACAGCTCTGTTCTAGTGGTCGCTGCAAACACTCACTGTTGAAAACAGCCCCTGATGCAATTAAAGTTAGTCGGCAATGTTAATGCTTTTAAATCTGACGTCTGCAGAGTGGTCCACGACTGATCGATGTTTCTGGCTTTGGATCGGCCCAACTCCAGCTGCTGTGGGCCACTGGGGAGTGAACTAACAGATGGAAGAACTCTCTCTCCTTGTCTCTTTTTGTAACTCTGCCTTTCAAATATAAAAATCTTTGAAGTCTTTAACAAAAAATCTGTTAAGAGCCTAAATGAAATAGCTGAGGCTGCCCCAGAAGTGACTGTCAGTTACACAGCAAGCACTGAGCCCTTGGGGAAGACCCTAAGTTGAGTGGAGCCAGACATCCAGCTTGATCTGCTTCCTGCACGGCGCAGGAACAGTGGGTGCTGGCTCTCAGGACCTTAGGGTCACACGTCAGAGCATGCGCGAGCTGATGGTGAGATCCATCAACAGTCAGATAGATGACACCAAGACACCCACCATCAATAGGGTGGATTTAGTGTTTCTCGTGATTTTATCCACTTGACCTAGATGCTCATGAGGCTCATGCCTGTTGTGTCTGTGTGGCGACATGCTATGTAACGGCACATTTCCAGCCACCTCTGACCAGTGACCGCACTTGCACAGCTTGAAATGGACTGTGTCCCATCACCGTGAGCCAGCGGTTAAACATCTACAATCATGTGGCACTGAGAATTTCCCACCACTGAATGAAGACCTGGAATTGGTAAGGGATTGCTTTTCATGTCTGGTGACAATAAGAGTCCTTGCTTAGGCTGCTACGGATGAAGGAATCAATGAGATGACTTACAGCAGATTCATTCTCAAAATCTCTAACACGCCACTTCTCTCTTTTCTTCTCCCTTTCTTCCTTCTAGTTATAAAACTGACCCTCAAAAGAGTTGACTTGGAATAAAACTTAGTATTCTTGCTTGCAACCTTTCATAATGTCTTCTAGTTTTTGTTTGAAAGACATTTGAACCAAACATCTGAATGTGGTTTCAGAATTCTTCACGGAAGACAAAGCATTTTTATTGAATGTTGCTTTGCTCTGTGGATGAAATGGGCCTTTGTGAGATTCTTGTCACATTGTAAACATCTAGAAGTTACTCAGGGAGCACTGAGTTTGCAAAAGATGCCTTCTTTTCCTATTTTTCAGGTCTATAGTGACTGTCTTATTACTTCTCAGGGGTGGGAATGCCCAGATCACTGGCTATGTCCAGCTCCAGAAATCATTTGCTCTAGTCCTTCCAAAAGCGCAGCAAGTGGAACTCAAAATGCAGCCGGTCTCTAGCTGGTAATTGATAAGCTGGCGTTTTGAACGGCCTGCGAATCACATCCTAACCATCTGAATGGCCCTTGGCAGAGGCACTGTTTCCCAGCCTGGCTGGGCCACCGGTCTCACTGTACGCACACGCGCGATATGTGGGACCGAAGCAGGGACAATGACAACTCAAGAAAACATGGAGGCATGCAGGAAAGTGCTCCAAGCAGCTCGTGAACATCAGAATAAAAAACTAAGTTGATTTTGTGAAAGACCTTTTTGAAATCAGAACCTACTGGGAATTGAGGCGGGGGGCACGGGGAGGCGTCTTCCAAAAAGTTTAACACAAGTATATGTAATCCAAACATCAATGTGTGGGTGTCTTAAGTTTTTGCAAAATAAGCTTCTTTTCCGATTCTATTCTTTATGAGCTTTTTGACACATCCCCAGAGAGAAGCCTTTGGGGAAGAGCAGTGAGTAACCGCCATTCCAGAGCAGACTTTAGCAGCAGGCGTAATGAGGTCACTCAGCAGGTGGATCGCTGACTCAGGAATGCAGGGTCAGTGGGGAGCTGGGATGGTGAGGCCTCCTACTCACTGAGTTGGGGAAAGAATCATTAACTCATTGCTGTGGACAGTTTCCAAGGTGCTCACTCGCCTGGGGTCTGGTCCTCCCACTCCTAGTGGAGGAGGGAGGAGAGTCGAGAGAGGGCAAAGCCAGGCAGACCTTGCTGAATGATGAGTCTCTTTTGACTCAAGGGGTGGTCTGCTGAGTTGGCCTCATTCCTGGGGCAACCAGAATCAACACTAAGCCACCTGCATCTACACCTCCCACAATGAGACCAGTAATAACCTCCATTGGGAGTCTGAGCGGAGGGTCACAAGTATGGGTTGTAGATGGAGCCACTGCTGGCCCAGAGCCTCCAGAATTTCATTCCTCTCTCCTGTGCCGGCAGACCCCAGCTCCTCCAGGGGTGTGTATGTTACACAAAGTCATCTTTAACATGTCTGAAAGCTTGTATGCAGCCTGACCAGGGAGAATGGTCTACTTGGGTTTGATAACTCCCAGGTGTGGGTTATCTCAGGAATATGGGCAAAGACAGCCTTGAAGAGCAAGGCACCAAACTTGTGTTTAAGAGTTAGTTACTTAGGTAGACAGATTTGTAGACCGCACACAGCTATATCATTTATATATACATCATACAAACGTGCTTCTCAGAGTTTGTGGAAAGATGGAGCTAAAAAACTAAGCTTATTTTGGTGCAAGCAGTTTTAGGAGCTGTGCGTAGGGCTTTCAGGATACGTGTTGTCTGATGAAGAGTGACACTGCCCTAAATGCTGAGGTCAGAGCCTGGCCCAGAGGAAAGCCCTCAGCATGCAGTGGTCATCAGCAGTATTCAATAATTAACCCCAATGGCCACACTGGCAAAAATGCGTATCAAGTATAAGGTCAGTTATTCCATTTCTTTCCCTATGGGGGGGGGTTCCTAAAAGGTTCCTGATTGCTCCTTAACAGACAAAAAGATAAATGTTTTAAGGAACTTCCAGTGGAGTGAGCCAGGAATTCCAAACTGAAAGTTAAGCAAGAGACTGGGCAGCCCAGCAGAGAGCAACACCACACAGCCAGCTGCTGAGGCATGGATACATCCGTGAAGACCCATTGCCCAGCCCTGCCTAGGCATGTGCCAAGTGCTCTCTGGATGTCAATGGCTCCTGCTTCTGTCTCTGGAGAGTATATGCTGAATTCATGCAGATCGTCATGTCTGGCCAAGGGTCCAGGCCACACGGGTGGGAGTTTGCCATCGGACAGGCCATGGGAGAGGGTGTCCGAGAGAGAGTAGAGGACAGGACAGAGCTCAGGGTCCCTGAGAGCTCGGGAGCAGGTAGGTGGCGGTGTCCATAGACCGGAGATGACAATAGGGACTGAAAAATCTGCTTCTCTTTCTTTGAACCCCAGACTGCTGGCTAGGCCACAGGGAAGAATCTGCCTGCTGTTGTAACATCCCTTGACTGCCCCAAGCACAGCAAAACGAAAGCATGAGTCACCACCATCAAAGCTAAGGTTGCAAAAGCAGCAGGCCTAAGAGCCAGGGGACCGCCACCTGCGCCCCCTTACCCCACGCCCGGGGAAAAGGTGGTTCAAGTGCCAACAGGTGAGCATCTGGGCGAGGGGGGGGTCGGGACTGCAAATCCCCCACACGTGCTTCCCTACCTGTCTGCTAGGTAGCCGATGCTCATGGAGCCGATGAAGAAACCGCCGTTCACCACTGACTGAAACAGGTCCAGCATCCAGGAATGGTCACACACCAGGTTAAACTGCATGTCCGCGGGTCAGGAGAGAAAGCAAGCAGGGCTCCGTCAGCATCTGGTTAGAGCCAGTCACTCCGCTGTGTGCTGGCTTTCCTCACACTGCCCACACACAGCCACGGAAGCCGCTGAAAATACCACCTGGCCCTACGGCATGAGCCTGAGCTGCCGTGTGGGCCACATCAGCTGAAATCCATGGTTTCCTTTCTAACTTGACCACCCAGAGGCCAACAGGTATGTAGGAGAGATGCATATGCAGCCAGGAGGGGGCTGGGTCACTCCCGGCTGTCCTGCCAAAGGCTGTTATATTTGCCCTCGCTGGAAGAGGAGGAAGGTGCTGGGGTGCAATGGGAGCTGGCCCAGGATTCCAGAGCCCCAGCTTCTGTAACCAGCTCTGCTGAGCCACTCTGAGACGTGGGGCAGAGCTGGCTTGCTTGGGGCATCTGACTCCTCAACTCTAGGTGAAGGGCTGGGAGGGGTCACCCCGTGGAACCTCTTAAAGCTGTATGATACAATCCGCAGCCTTCCCACTCCGTGGAACTCTGACCACTGCAGGTCCTGTTCAGGCCAATTTACTCCCCATGGTGGCCAAGCACACCTTTCCTAGTAATCCAGGCAATGCCAGATTCCACAGTAATTTCACCTTTCTCTTTTGCATTGCCCCAATAATAGTCTCTCTCTTAATTATGTTTTTGTTCTCTCCATACCTATTGAGATGGGGCCTCACAATTAAAAATCTTTCTAGAACAGAATTTATTTGTTTATATAGGTAGGTTTATTTGTTACATAGGTAGACTCAGAGAGAGAGAGAGAGACCTTCCATCTGCTGCCTAATTTCTTAAATGACCACAACAGCCCGAGCAGAGCCAGTTCGAAGTCAGGTGCCTAGACCCTCTTTTGGGTCTCCCAAGGCAGTGCCAGGAGTCCAAGGACTTGGTCTATCCCTGCTGCTTTGCCAAGTGAATTAGCAGGGAGCTGGATTGGAAGTGGAGCAGCTGGGACTTGAACCCGATCTCATTGGGATTGCAGGCAGAGGCATGTGGCACAATGCCAGCCTCTGCAATTAGATTTTAGCATGACTGCATTTGACTAAACTAATAGCATCCTCTCCAGCCTAAAATGCTTTAATAAGAGACACTTGGAGCAGATTACAGAGAGAAACATAACAGCCATGGGGAGGAAAGCACCTTGTGTCTCATGATACAGCGCACTCCAGGAGAGCCCTGGAAGCTTTTGCCATTCCACATGCGCATGGTGCAAGCACAAAACTTCCAACAAAAGAGAAAACTCGGTAATCTCTCCCCTGGCCTCATTGCCAGGAGCTCCAAAGTATGCGACGCTCACTTCACTGCTGCGACTGGCACAGGCAGGGATGATGGCTGTCAGAGCTGACACACACTCACTCCACGCAAAGTTAGAAGCTGCCTCTCTCCCTTAGAAGGGGGATTTTTGTAAGGTGCTCTGAGTTCAAAGAGCGTGTTCAGGCAAGGTTCTGAGGCCTAGACTTTTTCGTGAAAAGTTTAGTCATCTGCTTTTTCTCTTTCTCTGAGCTCACTTACCTCGGTGACGATGGACGAGCCGGGCATGTAGTACACCCAGCCGTGCTCACACGGGCTCAGCGGCAGGTGGCTCCTGTTGGGGGCCAGGCTGGCCAGTGGGTCCACGCAGCTCAGGGAGCTCTGGTTCCAGTCCACCTCGTAGCGCATGCACTGGCGGAGGAAGGCCCCATCGGCCTCACCCAGGCCGGGCACTGTGTAGTTGAGCTCCTCCTCGGGGCTCCAGCCGCAGCGGCGGCTCAGCTCGGCCACCCCGGGGCTCCGGCAGTGGTGGTCCGGGGTGAAGCCCAGAAAGACGATGCCCACATAGATGGGGGTGAATGCGGCCGAGAGCAGCGAGAGGAGGAGGAAGGTTCTCTTCTGGAAGAAGTGGAAGTCCCCTACGTGCTCGAGGATATGGTCCATGGTGGGCATGGCTTCTGCCGGTGGAGTCTGCCGCTGCGGCTGCGGAGCTGCCTGACTGTGGCGGAGAGCAAGCGCAGTCGGCACAGCAAGAATGCTGGACCAAAAGTCAAAGGGTGAGAGTCCTTCGGTCTCAGGAAGCTGCCAGCCTCCGGCGCAGTCCTGTCCTGGCCGGGGTTCACTCGGTGCCCTCTCTAGGGGTGCATGTCCCGCTGCTGCCCAGGAACGCCCCCAGAGCAAGGCCCTGGGGGTGTGATGTCCTGTTTATTGTAACACCACCTCCCCGAGGGCTGTGGCCACCTCACCCCAGCACCACAAACAATTCCGCCTCTGTGTCCCGCAGGGAGAAACCCGAGCTCTCTTCCTATCGCAGTCCGTTAATCTCTCCCCAGCCTGGAAATGAATATGGTCCTGTCCACACACATGCTGACCTCTCTCCTCCGAGGTGCTGCCCGAGAGAGGCCCGCGTGGTTGCCCAGCACACTGTGGGCCTTGGTGGCTGGCTGGTGCTCCTGGCACACTTCTTGGGCTTTGCACACTCAGCCACTTCTGAGCTCCTGGGAATGTGTGTGCTAGGGAGGTGCCAGGAGGCTGCTGGCTTTGAATATGAAGGAAAAGCCATCGCCAGTAATAAAACTTGAAGATACAGAATGTCTGAGGAAAAGAGAGGTCTTCTATGTGCTGGTTCACTCCCGAGATGGTGCAGTGGCCTGGGCTGGGTCAGACTGAGCCAGGAGGCAGACCTTCCCGGGGTGGCAGTGCTCCAGCACCTGGGCCATTCTCCCCTGCTTTTCCTGATGCACTAGTGGAGAGTTGGATCAGAAGCAAAGTAGCTGGGACCCGAACCTGTGTTCTGTTAGGGGATGTTGGTGTCGCAAGCGCTGGTTTAACCGGCTGTGCCACATGCCTGTCCCAGGCCAGAGCGTGCAATTCTGCTTTCTGGTATGACTCCCATAGTGTCTCTCAAAGAATGAATGTTCACATAGTCAGGGTGTGGATGCGGGCAGGGCTGTTTCCACTGCTTTTCGTCCTTCACATTCCTGCCTGTGACTAGGGGTCTAGGATGGGATCACATGTGCTAGCGCCAAAAGTGGCCTGCTGGGTGTGTGCGTAACAGGTGTTCAATGTACTTTAAAAAAAGATTTTATTCGTTTTTAATTGGAAGGTCATATTTATAGAGAGAAGGAGAGACACAGGGAAAACTCTTTCGCCTGTTGGTTTACTCCCCAAGTGGCTGCATCAGGTGGAGCTGAGCTGATCTGAAGGCAGGAGCCAGGAGCTTCTTCTGGGTCTCCCATGTAGGTGCAGGGTCCCAAGGCTTCAGGCCATCATCTACTGCTTTCCCAGGCCACAGGCAGGGAGCTGGATGGGAGGTGGAGCAGCTGGGACATGAACCAGCACCCACATGGGATGCTGACACATGCAAGGCAAGGACTTCATTCACTAGGCTGCCATGCTGGGCCCTCAATGTACCTTCTTCTCCTTCCTCCTCCTCTTCCTTTTCTTCTTATTTCTCCTCTTCCTCTTTTCTTGAAATGCTCATTTTTTTTTTTGAAAGTCAGGGTTGGGCCCGGCGCGGTGGCACAGTGGTTAAGGTTCTCGCCTTGCACGCCCGGGATCCCATATGGGTGTCGGTTCAAATCCCAGCGGCCCCTCTTCCCATCCAGCTTCCCGCTTGTGGCCTGGGAAAGCAGCCAAGGACGGCCCAAAGCTTTGGGACCCTGCACCCGCGTGGGAGACCCGGAAGAGGCTCCTGGCTTTGGACCGGCATAGCATTGACCGTTGCGCTCACTTGGGGAGTGGATCATTGGACGGAAGATCTTCCTCTCTGTCTCTCCTCTCTGTATATCCGCCTTTCCAATAAAAATAAAATAAATCTTTAAAAAAGAAAAAAAAGAAAGTCAGGGTTACAGAGAGAGATCTTTCGTTCACTTATTCATTCCCCAGATGGCAGCAACTGCTGGAGCTGAGCCAGTCCGAAGCCAGGAACCAGGAAGTTCTTCCAGGTGTTCTATGTGTGCAAGTACCCAAGGACCAGGACCATCCTCTACTGCGTTCCCAGGCCTATTAGCAGGGAGCTGAATAGAAAGTGGAGCATCCAGGATTTGAACCAGCGTCTATATGGGGTTCCTGCAAAGTAAATGGCTTTACCTCTACGCTGCAGTCTGGTTCTCTCTTCCTTTCTATGGCATTGCCAGTGAGTCTGGCCGTAGGGACTCAGGGTGGAGGTTTGATGGAGCCATCAAGTCACCATCTGGAGTGCCTACACCCCACCTCAGAGTGCCTGGATGGAAAGCGGGCGGCTGTGATAGGAGCTGGTGCCCACATGGGATCCCAGTATGTGCAAAGCAAGGACTTTAGCTGCTAGGCTGCTGCACTGGGCCCCCCTTTTTAAAAAGTGTTTCTACTTGAAAATCAGAAATACATGGAGAGAGCGAAATAAAGAGATTTTTCATCTGCTGGTTGATTCCCCACATGGCCACAATGGCTGGGACAGGCATAAGCCAGGAGCCAGGAGCTTCATCTGATTCCCATGTGGGTGCAGCGGCTCAAGCACATGGACCCTCTCTGCTGCTTTGCCAAGTGCATCAGCAGGGAGCTGGATTGTACGTGGAGCAGTGGAAACTTGAACCAGTGCCTATACAGGCTGCTGGCTCAGCAGGTGATGGCTTAGCTGCCCCAGAGCAGCTGTGGAGGGGCTTCCCAAGGGGCTGCTTGAGTCCTGCATGAGTCAGAGCAGAGGCCAAGTCTGTCACCTCAGGCTCCTGCCCTGCCCTGCCTCTTCCTCTTGCTGTTCCTGGAAGCTAGGCAGAGTGGGCGGGGTGACTAAGGGCTGTCCACTGTGCTTCCTCCCTGGGGACTCAGGGTCAGAATTCACCCACACCCTCACCACGCTGGGGTCGATACTCTGACGCCTGCCGCATCCAGACTGCGACGTTCAAGGCAGCAGGGACCAGGCAAGGCGCAAAGAGCGGGCTGCGAACCCCAGCACACACCACTGGGGAGAAATGACTGGATATGGAGGAGTTCAGCCACTCTCAACTGTGCAGTTATTCAGCTCCTTTTCCAAGGCCCTGGTACAGCTGCAGTACAAGCATTCCAGTTAGGAGACAGGTGACACGTCACGGCAATGCCACATATGCATCCCATGTGGGAGCATCCAGTGGTGGGACAGGGAGTGGACTCAGAGCTCATGGCGTGGGTCTGCGACTCCAGGTCCCTGTCACTGACATGGCACAGGTGCTGGGTATACTCAGAGGGGCGGCCAGAGGGCCACTGGCCAAGGCTGAACAGTCTTAACCGCATAATCCGATCATTTGCTGGGATTAATGCCGGCAGAATTGCTCAACCTTGTATCTTGTTTCCTGACCAGGTAAATACAGATGTCCCAGGTTGCCATTTTTGGCTTGGTGCTGAGGAAGGTCGGCTGTGCCTTTCGTAGGGCAGTCTCCTGTGCAAGGAGACTGGCATGGTCACACTGAGCAACCAGGGGTAGAGGGACTCCAAGATGGCAGCTCAGAGGGGGCAGGGTGGACACCCAAGGGCAGCGGGAGCTCCCGTTGGGTGTTTCATTGTGCGGTGGGCTTCAGCAACACAAGGGGGCACTGAGCAGGTGGCTATGTGGGACCCTCACCCCAGGCAGCCTATCCTCCAGCTCCCTACCTGCACCCCAGGGCTCAGGAAGTCCCAGTTGGAGGTTCCATAACTGGCTCCTGGCTCCTGGCTCCTGGAGAGGTGAGAAGCCCCAGGAAATTCTGATTGTGATCTCAGATACTAACGAGGTGTTTGCTTTAGGCCAACAGAACCAGAACCCTGGAGAAAGAGTGAGTAACCAGCACTGCTGCCCACACCTCCTGCCTGCCTCCGGGAGGGCCGGTGACAGCCACCTGCTCACTTCTGTTGCTGACTCAGCTGCCTTATTTTGGGGTGGTGTGTCCCGCACCTCATCCTGGACTTCTGGGCAGGGCCCCAAGAAAGGCACAGCCTGGTACAACCGACCTTCCTCAGAGAGGATCATCACTGCAACGGAACGAGACGTAAGGAATGTACTGATGAAACCTGTGATTTCCCAAGTTTTAAGATAACGGATCTTGGCATTGATCTACATCTGATGCTAAATTCAGTATGTGATGAAGAATTTCATATCTGGGGAAGGGGGTCAACCACGGACATATGTTGGAGAACCTAGATGTTTTCTGCTTTTGTGATTCCTGCCTTAATGACTTGGCTGGGGACTATGTGAACTCCAGGCCTGACAGTCTATGTGACACCCGGCAGGACACCTGGCAGGTCACGTAGGCCGACCACGCCTCAGGAAGGAGGTACCTGGTGTTTGATAAGATCCACCGCCCTATAGCTCATCAATTTGTACTTTTTGAAAGTTGCTTGCTTCAAACCTACCAATAGAAGCCTGCTAAATCATGACTGTATGATTAATAGCCTGAAATGTATAAGAACTGGGGAGCTGTTCAACCAGGGGACTCTCGCAGCCTTCCCTGCGGATCCTAGCAGCCTCGGCTGTGGCTGCCCCTCCGCTGCCCAGCCATGCTGGGGAAGGTGGCTGGGAGACCTAGGCTAACCTGAATAAACCACCTTTGTGCCTTAGCACTGACTTCAGACTGGATGATTTTCTGGGGATTTCAAAATCCGGCACACCAATGTTATTGTCACTGACGGTGGAAGGGGCTCCAGGTAGGAAGAGTAAGTCCTGGAATTCCATAGCAGAGTGAGCTGAGTAAAGGTGGGCTGTGTTGGGGGGAATGCAGGAACAGGCACAGGAGAGCGAAGCTGCTCGCCGAGGGCAGAGGCTGCTGGCTGGCTTGTGTCCTCTTCCTGGGCACCATGTCATTAGGTGGAGTGCTGGAGGCAGGAGCCATTGCTAAGTTGGAACTCAGGACAGAATCCTGCATGGGATTGGGCATTGTGGGCTGTGTCTGTGCTGTGGGAGTTTACAGGCTGGAGCCTGGTGGGGTTCTAGCCAGGATGACCAACCCCTGTCCTCAATGGGACTG